ATGTTGTTTCCTAGTAGCTAGTGAGTAGGTTCGTTTGCGTTGTTACGCTTGAAGAGAGTTAATGGGGTAATTGTTCTCGAAATGGAGTGCGCACCGACAGGTGGTTGCGTTCTCGGGCACGCTTAATCAGGACCGAACCTCACTAGTCCAATGCACCGCATGTCGCCGATGAAACAATTCAGTAGTCTGGTTTTAGTTTCATCATCCTTATCAGGTTGCTTGATTGAAATCCCGTTGGTTCGTAACGCATATCTCGTATATCAGTAGTACGTTGGGTAGACATCGGAATGTTTTTTGCTTATTTATTATATATCGTTAACACTTTACTCTCTTTTTCAAACAAAAATTCTCAAAGGCAATACACCCTAATGGTTGTGGAAACACTACTGATACTCTGATGAAGGCGATACCGTCGAAACGTTAACCGAAAATAAAGAATGTTACCAACTTCGTGTGAGCTTATAAAAGAAGAAATATATATCGATTAGTCGTACCAAGGATAAAGGAGAGTTGGTTTTGAAATATTGTTATACTTCCTACCGAAACTGTTCCCAGGACCGATTTTCAGTTAACCTCAGCATTGGGTTATAAATACGTCGTTTTCTTTCTTATAAATCGCGAGGTTGTTATGCAGCATACGTTTAGTTCCATGCAAAGAGCACCCACAACATAACAGTAGCTGACGTTTCAGCAGTATCGGCTTCTTCAGAACCTGCAAGGGTATACTGACATGCAATTTACTACATCAAATGCTTCAATAACACATACATGAAGATGTAAATCTATATGGCAATCACATGATCAATAGCTCGAAAAACACCGTTTTCTACGTGCCTTCCACTGACGAAGAACAGCTGATTGTAGTCGCATATGGCTGATAACTGCACCACACCACATTGAAAATCGATGCGAAGATACGGGACGAGACCACGTGATCTCTAGACACTCCTCCCTGGTATTCACTCTCGGATTCTTGGCTTTTATCCAAAAAGCCTCGAGAAGTTTGCGCGTTGGTGTTTGGGCCTTTTGTGCAAACCTGTGCAACTAACTGTTCGAATAAAGTCTCAAACCTACTGTCATAGGTGCAACATGTGCTTTTTGATGCCTGCAAAAAATCGAGAAGGTCTGCTTTCCTTCTTGGAAGGTTTTCGTTTTTCTGTACAAATAAATACGAAGTAGAGTTTTTTTCGGGAGACTTATTACATGTGTTTTCACTAAACGTCCTTTTTTACTTTCATGACATAAGTATCCTATAGAGGTATCAACGACGTAGCTCCACAGTGGCTAACTAGCAGGCATCCGTAGTAATGGGGAAGTCAGTGTCTCAAAGACGATAATTGTCTTTGAAACTTAGTCCATCTGTATGCTTTTCTTCTTGGAAAAAGAACGAGAATCGTTGTACGGCTTTCAATGAGTTGTTTTTTCAATTTACTACTTGTACCAACGAATGCTAAACCTTACGTACCATCCTTTTCTAAAACCAAAAACATATTTAAACAATAGAAAACTGCTTATGTTGCAAGCATAGGTCAATTTTCTATTTATCTTTATTTATCTGTGCTAAATCCTATAACTTCACTTCTGGTGTTACAACAACAGCACATACTTTTTAAGGGATCATCCAATGGCTACAGTTGCTGCGGCGTATGGGAAAGTCGGCGATTACCGACATTTTACGCGAACTCCAATAAAGGGTTAGTTTTTATCACTGTTTGTCTTCTCCACCGCTTCTCCAATTTCTTACCGCTCTTCATGACTTATTCGTTATTGCCATTGTATTTTCCTGATTATTACATGTTGATAATCATCAGCACGGGAATATTTTCCACTGTGAATCGGAAACTGCGAACACGACTTCCTTTGTCCAGCAATGTTGAATGACTACTCGTTTTAAAAATTTATTCAAATCGCGAGAGAAAAAAGAGACCTATAGATAACGATGTGTCACTCACCACTTCATCAAAATACGTCTGAGAATTCACCTTATCACCTGTCCTTTTCTGGATAATCCGTCGATTAATATTCTCGAGTGGACGCTACAAGATTCTACTCCATCGGTAGATATAACGAATATAATATATTATATCTCGTCCAAGATCCTCGTCAGAAGTTTGGCAATCGGTACCATTTACATTGTTCGCTTAGAATCTTGGATCACAGCCCCTAATAGGCTTAACAATTCTAGGAACTTCTCATTTTCTTGATTTTGATTGCGCTGAGTAAATGATGTTTACGTGGGGTCCAAGTTTTCGAGGCGAATGCTAAGGCAAGATGAATCCGATGAGTCAGGAAATTGGGCATGAAGTCCAGAAGTGGCTTTCGTCCTGATATTGGAGAGCGGTGGTCATCGTCTTGTAGTTTGTGAAGAATCACCTGTTGCTAAGAATGTTTTTTAATCCTTGAAATTTAAGCTAGTGCTGCTATCCTACTGGCTTTCTGCTACCCTTATACACGTGTGTAGCGCAGCGTCGGCTTGCAATACAAACGGGATCGATCTCCGCGCCGCAGGCTCATCAAGCCTTCCATTCTTTGCGGTCGGCAGATTGCTACCAAACTTGTCTGAGAAGATAGGAGCACTGGCTCGCTATATCTATATGTCACACCGAGTCATTGTAAGGGCCAGATATGCATCCAATCACCTCCAGACGATGTTTGATGAAGTCGAATGCATGGCGAATCCCTCATTGATTAACCATCGCGAAGAGCTCTATCGTTTTTTTATCCTATCGTCCTTCTGTGTTCGTAATATTTCTTTACCGTTTCTTTGTAGAATTTTTAATCTTAGTTGTACGTCTATTGTTCGTTGTGGTTCGTATGCCTCACACTGGTGAGCAACTTAAATAATTTTTGGTTGTGTCAGCTGTTCAAACAAGATTATTTATCCTGATATTAGTACTATCATACGGAATAGAGTATTTTTTTCTATCATGTACGGTTTTTGTTTTAATTCCTTAAGAAGAAGAATAAGCAAGGAGAAATAGAGAATGAAAGAATGAGTAGCGTAATAATGGGCCGAGACGACTGGCGATCCCTATATACTGTTTCAATAGCACGACGTTGCGATTTCTATTGTGGAGGAGGTAGTTGACTCTGTGCGTAAAAATAAGTAATATTCTTCTTGAAGTAGAAGATAATCTATATACTTTGGATAAAAAATTTTTTTGGATCTTCAGACTCCGAGGACTTCCATGCCTGAAAATTTCAAAATTTGAGAAGCCCCATTTTCAGTCGCTTTCTTGTCATCCCTAGTACGACACCTACCTGAACATATTGTTGATTCGAATAGCAGTGTTTTCAAAGACGAAAACTTAAACCAGTCTTTATTTTCAAAACTTACTTTTTATCCTGCTCTGGTGTGTGTATGCGTATGTGTGTTGATAAAACGTAGCTACACAGGACAAAGTGTGCCACGGATTTGTCCTACTGAGTGTAAATCTGTTGTTGAGAATAGTTATTAGCACTGCTTTTCGAATACAGCTCTCTATATGCTTGCTTTTTAAATCGCTTCTCCATTTAGGAGCTCGCTCGTCCTCGTCCACAATCGACAGTCGTGCTAAGCGTATAACCGAGCAGGAGAACATTAATCAACTCTTACAACAATGCCGAACCAGTCAACGTGGAGCCGCTTGTCAGGTATTTAGACTTCAACTCACTCTGACCCTGCGTAATATTCATTCCAAGAATAGATCGGAAGAAAATTTTGTAAGCTTTTCGCTTTATGGTTCCATTTATGTTTGGCCGTTCAACCGCTCGTTGTTTATACATTCTTAGGTAGCTAGTCAAACCATCAAAAGCGGCAGACTTGTGAAACGCATTGTGAATAATGCTTTTCTTAGCGAATGACCGTGGAGATGTCGGTTGTCGACTTTCTAAATTGTGCACTTGCAGCTTTCTGTGAATGAGACGTATGGGTGCGCAGTAGTTCGTTGTGGCTCGTGAGAGTAGTTGGTTAGACAGACTAAGGCCAATCTTACCTAGTCTAAATCTATCCTGCTGGGAGGCCACAAAGCATTATTTTCACCCAATACATAGATATTACTGCTAAAATGCTTGCGAGGCACTTATTCTACAAGCTTTACTACACATTTTTTCATCAGGGAACTTTTTGTTACATTTCAGTTGGTCTGAATCCCCGACGTCCACCTCTATCAGTCTTATTTCTTCTTCCTTTTAAGCTCAAAGGGGAACTGTGTCCTGAGTCAAGGCGGAATTTGTTAGCCGTCAGAATTTAACAAGTTGTTTTAAGTTTAGACCGACAGCGATCATATTTGGGGATATTTGTATATATATTTTTATATATATACATATATGTATGTATATATGTATATACCTGTTGTTAAACCTTTTAGCTTGGTTCAGTTGTACTGAGAACGTTTTAAATGTGACTTAACTACTTATCAGCCGTTTTCTTTTTGTCATTATAGTAATGAATGGGACAAAGTTTGCATGTGGCAAGTCTAGTACCCAATGTGGCAGCTGTAGAATCGGCATTCACTGAAGATGTTGCTTTGAACTAAGGTTTTTTCTGCTTTGTAGTGGGAACTGCTTCCATAGAACTTTTTCCGTTTTGTGGGTTGATTTGGAAGGATGGAATTCCGTACTTGCACTGCAAATCATAGACTGAGCAAAGACGTCGTAGAATTTTTGTGACTGAACCGTTGTTTTCCCTCTTAAGTGTAGGTTGGTTGATGTAAATCTGCATGTGGACATCCTTGTACTGCCACATGGGTCTTTCGGGGTTCAACTGGTACTGAGTAGTCGTCGTCGGGAAGGTGCAGTAGTTTCGCTACTAGGACTTTTTCTTAGAATTCTTTTCGCATCTTCGACATGGTCCTTACTATGCAGTGGGCTAAAATTTCCTAGAATTCTTAGAATTGAACCGTTGGTCCTCTTGGGCGTAGGTTAGTTGATGTGAATCTGCATGTGGGCACGGGACCGTAGGGGGTTGAGCTGGCGATGATCAGTCGTCGTCGGAACATGTAGCCGTAAATAAGCCAATAATGGACCGACCGCCTTCGTGCCATCAAAAGCCATCAATTGTTCGAGAAATTAGGACACCCTGGAGACTGCCACATGCGCACAGTTGGTGGAACGGCAACACAACAATGGGAAGCCACTAAAGGAAGACCTTCCCGCATTAGGTGAACGGGTTTATCTTTAGAAATAAGCTTCATCATGCTTTCAATAAATTTTGGTGATCAGATAAAAAAGGCAGAGTGGGATATTCCGGTAGGATAGAGGGAGCATCCTGGCGTGGATTCTCCTCTCTAGATTAAAAAGGCATTCATGTTTTTAGTAGAAACCCTTTGAATATTTATCGATTAATTAGAATATCTATGCCACTGACCAGTTCGTTCTTTTCAGTAGCCGTTGGTTGTAGTCTACTTGTTAATGCTAGAATGCTGCAAAAGGTAAATATGACATCTTTTAATTTCAAATTTTAGTTCGAATTACTCTGTATCACTTGGGCTTCGATGTCATCTAGCTTTCCTATTGGCTTAGATGATTTTGGCCAGTTAGTGATGAATGATTCGAAGACCCTGTCAGCTGTTTATGGCTGCGATAAGCGTAAACAATACCTCCACCTCTTGTAGCACATTAACTTTTAAGCACGACTTTTTCATCATTGGTTACCGATAGCTGTTTTTTTTCCTTTTAGGCTTTTGATTTTTTAAGAATTTGAGTGTAACAGTTGGTGAGATAAAACGAGGTGTTTCAGTGCAGTGAAACATAGAACTTTGTTTTTATTTCTGCTCTTGTAACCTGGAAGTATCCTTAGGATCGTCAATGATCAATTTTTTTTATCCCAACATTTCGCCTAATTTCCTACTTCTTATATTATCACCATTTAGAGATGAGATTACGTGCCTTTCATTCAATAAGCGAGTTTGCTCTAATAAAAAAAATACAATTAGGCAAATAACATTGTTAAAATTTCAGCCTCTACGTTCGCCTGGGTACAGCACTTTTGGACCACAATTGGCCTTATCTGCTGACGGCGACACGTTAAGTGTACATTCACGAAGTTCTTTAAGAGTATCATCCAAGAAACAGGAACACCCAAGTAAGATTCTGTTTTATTATAATTTTTGTACTAGAAATATTTGATGGGTTTAACTTATGAGGACCATTATTTTTATTTTATTTTTTTGAGGATTATTTTATTAAATTACTTTTTCGTGTCTATCTGCAGCACAACCTGAATGGCCTATTTCTCGCTACATGTTTCCTTACAGAATCTGAAATAACTAAAGAGATATAACACAATTCAGACACGAAATTCTTCGATTAAATTACTGTCCTCCTTTCAACCTAACTGTTCTATCCATCTCATGGAGTCATACTCTCAGATGGTAACAGATGATCTATGACGTGTGTAGCTCCGATTTTTCCTTCCTCTTGACTCTGAATGTAATTGAGCACTGAGAGTACAAATACATTACTTCAGTGGACTAGACAAAATGAGAATCTGACGAGGCTTGCTTATAAACCTGACCAACAGTATGTGCTCTTCCCTCCATCACTTCGTAGTGTTGCTTGATAGCACTACAGTTAATCGTGTTCCTTTACAGTATTACACTTATGTGTGAGGAGCCAAACTGACCACTGATCATGCCTTAAGCGGTTGACATCGATTGTCACAGAAGGCGTGCCAGCTGGTGGTTTAAGAAATCGCTTAGTGCGCTTTATAATGTCGAACTGCGCTCTCATCATAGAATACGAACAGAATGAGAGCGAATCGGATATATAGCGAATGGTTTTGAACTGTCAACGCAGCTCACTAGTCACGCAACGATTAGCGCCGTCCAATTCTAATCTGCAGTTTCTGCCAATTATCGTGAATGGTTAAAGAGGTCGATTTTTGCACAAAGAGTATGGCACAACAGCTGTTTTTGGAGAAGAATTTGAAATTTCTGGCTCTCGAAAAAGGACTGAGTATTTTAATGTTTTCTTAAAACTTCGATGCCTGCCCTAGGTCAAGGCTGCCCGGCATTGGGCTACCTTGGGGTGCACTGCCCGGTTGTGGGCAGCCGTCTTTCTTCACCTTAAGTCTTTCATTAAGATGCACGCATCCATATAGTGCATTACCGTCTCATACAAAATCTTTGATTCACTTAATTCGTTCACATCCTTGTCAGTTATCTCCCATTCCCTTGTTGAGTTGGTACGAAGTTGTTGTACAGTTTTTCTTAACCCGACTACGTCTCGAATTCCAAGAGGTTTAACTTTTTCAAAGTTTTAAAAGTTGCTTACTAATTTTTACTGTCGTCAAGAATTTTTAGACGTTTGGTTGGTGTCAGATTAAACTCTACTAGAATTATTTTAATTGGTTGCATGAGCAAGGATTAGTGAGAATAGGAATTCCTAGCATACTCTCCGCAGAAAAAATCCAAGATTGTTTGAGAAAAACTACTAGTACTTTATTTTCAGCAACACATTTTGGTGTCTACCACTCATTGGACCGTAAGTCACATCTATCCGAGTGCCACCGCGAGTCCTCTCCGAATCGCCTGGGAATTTTCGACAAAACGGCAATGGCAGCACTGCTCAGTCCTCGTCGAATACCTCAACCAACACCGGACAGCATGCAACGTCACAGTATTACTGGTAAACAGCATAACACATTCCATGTTCTTAGCCATGAAGGCATCCTTTGAGAGTGTCAGTCGTTGCAGTCTTGTGTGGTGCATGTTTTGTTTCGGCATGCTTTCGCTTTTTAGAATCATGGCTTAAGGGGAGAGTGGAGCCATCTTGCCTGTTATTGAGAGATCCTCTTGGATCTAGAATTGGTTTTTAAAAATTTTTCTTGGAAAGTTTTAGTACCGTTACATTGACTTTCTAAAGCCGTTTGTCAATCCGTTGATTAATAAACGCAAAAGTAACAATGTCTCACATGGATACCACTTTATGAACTGCATCTTTCCTCGAGCTCACGTTTATCTTCATCCTCAGTTTTCCTTTTTTACTGCTCAGAAAACAATATTTAGCGAGTTAAAACTTTGTTTAACCGTAGTTTTGGTTCCTATATATTTTCCGGGCATTTTGCTCATCGTTCCAAACTATATTCGAGTGATCCGTAGTTCCCATTCAGTTTGGGAAATTTGACTGAAGATCACTCTCATGTCTAGAGCCAGTCTCTCTCCTTGCGTCATGCCTTACAGTAGTGCAATTCTGTGTGCTCTTCAGCTTCTCGAGCCTGTCTAAATGCATCTGGTATGTCGCGTTCGATGGTCCTGCTTGAGTCGGCGGCCACTTCGTCGGCACCTAGGGCGCAACGAGGCGCTAGCCCTTGCCGTCAACGCCTTCCACTCAGTGTGGCCAGTCCAACGAACAACAGCGGTATTCATAGTTTAACACCATGCTTAACAAACCCTGTCTTACCTATCATCTTCGTTCAATTTTCCTTACCGTTAACGGTATATGACAATAACTGACTGTATAAATACAGTTATCCAATTTCTCTGTGCCTTTGCTTTTGCATTTAAAAAAGCTGCAAATTGTATGTAGCATCATATTTTGCTTAGAGCATAATTATAGTTTAACTGCTTATCAGTGTTAGAGCTAGAGTATTAGACTTGCAAGTTACGTTCAATATTGGCTAGCTTGCTGACTAAATCACTACCTCGTCATTGGAGGAATTCCAGTTTGTGTACGTCTCTGTATGCCCAGATTTTTCAATATTCAGGCATATCAACTCTCAGCTCCTCTTTAGGCTCTCTGTCTGCACGTGGGGCCAAGAATGCTGACAGGATTTATGCCAATTTTCGCGATGGGATTCATTTGCACCGTCTTGCTGACGAATTTCAGCCGAGCCACATCCCTACGAAGACTAAAGGCTCGTCTAGTTTCGTACGGAGCACTGACTAGAAGTTAAAACTCCTAAAACGATGAGCTATTTACTCGTGCTTCTATGTTTGGGACAGTAACCAATTAAGATTTAGTCTCCACTAAACAAGTGATTGATTTGATTTAAAATTTACATGAGTATTTGGAGCATAAAAATTGGAATCAAAGGGAAAAAAAGCTGAAGATATCAGTGGTTTCGAAAGGACCTTTTTGCCTAATTCAGTTCGTTATAGTATTTTTTAATATGTCCTTTCCTCCTTTCTTTTATTTCTTACAGCTAATAATTTTTTTTCAAGCAAGTTCTGAAATAGGTACGAAGCTTTTCAGGTGCCGATCTATTAGACTCACAATCGTCGCTTACAAGCGCAGCATCCAATTCGGTGTGTGAACTTTAAAAAATACTTGATACTTGAATAGTCCGTCCTCACTAATTGTGCGGGCCCCAGCATTACCTCCACTTTTTCGGAGATTTGCTGGTTTAGCCATTGTGGTTCCTGGAGTGCCGAGGTCAGCCTAGCCAGTCTTCTCTAGGTCGTCACTACCAGAAGCGGTTGACGCCTTTGCGGATCAGAGAGAGATTTGCCACCATGCTACCAATTTGATACTAGAACGGTGGTGGATCCTGGTATTGGTATGCTCTTACGTAGGCTTCCTTATGGAAACGCCGCACTCTTCATCTTGCGAGACCCTGCCAAGTGGATGAATCCCCCTACTGTACGTCGCAATCCGACACCCAGGAACACCTCCCAGCCACGATGAGGCGGTAAACCGTTGGGAGGTTAAAAATTAACTAGAAACTAAAATTACTTTCTTAAACCGCAGTTCGGGGTGTACAAATTTCCTTGCGTTCACTGGATTTCGAAGTGTCGAGAATTGTTCAACAGACTTCCTACCAAATTGTTCGAAAATTCGTACTGTTGTTAGATGGGAGGTAACAAAGAAAACGATGGAAATGACAGGATGGTTTGTTGAACTTGAAGCAGATCTGCTTATGATTCATACCATTGTGTCCTTGGCACATAGTGATTAAAAGCGTTCCCTATTCCAGCTGAATGACAAGTATGAGGCAGATATTCATAAAATGGCTCGTGAACTCGAGGGCTATCGTCAGACAATCAGCAAGCTAACGCGAAAGCAGGAGGACTATTCGCATGTTATGGAGATGTTCCAGAATAAGTTGTCGCAGCTGAGCAAACACGTCGAAAAATCGCTGCTTAGGGTCGGTACAGCTTTAAGAGTTAACGTCTGAAAATGAAATCATACTCTTGCATATCGTTAGCAACTCACTAGTAAATTCAACTCATTTTTCACTGAACTTTAAGTTAGTATGGGTTTTATTATTTTTACAGCGAGAAGAGACGAACTGGGTAAAGACACGTAAGACTGCTGAAGTTCCCTAAATTGAGATGTGTATGTGGGTTTTTCCGCGTGCTCATCTGTGGGACATGAAATTGTCTATTCAATATTCCGGGTGTTTCCTTTAGATGCTGAATTAATATTCAGTACATCAAAAAAATTTGTAACTGATTTTGTTGTAAATGGATGTTCGATTGTTTTAGTGAGAATGATCAACGGTGGAAATCCTGTTCTCTGCTTTGTACGTCAACGTCAATTTTGTATCCTTACATTTAACTTTAAGGCTATTCATTTCAATATGAAAGTGTATCCTACTGAAGTGAAGTATATCGTATAGTTTAATCATAATCAGAATTTTCAAATGCGGGACCACCATTACGTGCTAAGTAGTACTAACTAGCATTGGGAAATTAATTAAAATGTTATACGTCCAATGTCCCTATGTGAATCCGGAAAGATGGCGCACTGCATAAAAATATCTGGATAAAATCCAAGACATCGGAAGGATATACTTGTTTTCTGAGCAAAAAACAATGTTGCACTGTGGCCTCCCTTCATTGAAATTTCTCTGGGAAGCTATGTAGCTATTCCAGTATGTGATCTTGGCTTTGCTCATTCCGTTTATCGTAATTTTTGAGTCATCAAGAATTCGAAGCTGGAAGGGTGGATCACAGACAATCAAACCCTGTAAAAAAGTGTTACACACCACTTGTTCTCTTCGACATCGTGGGCCAAAGTTCACAGCGACGTGTAACGAATACCTAGTGCCATTGCTAGGAATAGATGAGAATAATTACGATTATGTATTCTAGATCGAAGCTGCTCTTCAGCAGTACAAAGAAAATCAACGTTTTTAGAAATGGGAAATTTTTGAAATTTGCACAAAGCGTCTTAGAACATTCTTTCCAGCCTATTGGGTTCAATTATGGATTTCCTTTAATCCTTTTAATATCTAAAATGAGTCCAATGTTTTGATAATAATATGACCAAAAAGGGTAGGATATTTTTTGCTGATTTTTTTTCACTTGGATTCTTATCCGTCGTTTCTTCTTAGGTCTTTGGGTCAATAATGGTTACAGTCTTCGTCGTGAAGGCGTACGTCAATCATCTATCACTTCCAGGCGGGCGCATCTGCGATTATTCGAATGCAAATAAGTTCGTGAATGGGTCTGGAGATCCCTGGAGACAAGCTGGCATTTCTGAATTATTTAGAATAGCTTACAAAACGTTTTTTTTCTGACCTTAAACAAAGCGCATTCACATTGAAAACTGCATAAACTTACTAATGCGCTCTCTGTTCAACCAATAGTACTTGCTGCTATAATTCTTAATTTATTCGAAATTACAAGTACGAGTGGCTGTGGAACGATGTGGTTTCATTTCATATAGGCTCAGTTTAAAGTACTATAAGCTAGTTTCCTAGGATTTCACTGCAGACCAAAATGACTTTGGAATACAAATTTTGAAATGGTAACTATGGTGTCGTCAAAGAACAGTTCAGCATTTATTGGGTTAAGCTCAGTGTTCTGACCCTTTCTACGAGATTTTTTAAGCATATCTTTGATTCTATGGTGTTGTCAGAACTCTAGTAATAAAAGGCGGTGACCAGCATATGTGCTCACTCCCAAAGGGTCATAGTTATCAGAGAAATCTTGAACGACGTTAGTCCATGTGCCATCCTATTGGCTGTAGGCCTTCTGATGCTTTCCAACTGCACGTCCATACTTGCCTTTTCTCTTGCCCTTAAATAACTTAATTGTTTAAACTTGGTTGAAAAACAATAATTGTTTATTTTTAGCCTGACGATCTGAGCAAACTTCGCCAAGAAATTGATCAACTGCGGATAGTTAGCACGCGGTTAGCGCAGGGTGGAGACGTGAAGAAAAGTATTGTAAGTTTGGAAACGATTGTTTGTAATGAGAATGAATTCATCATCATAAAACGGATAGGGCTGCAATAACGTAGTAGAGTAGTGCGAGTGGGTAATACTTGCGTGAAGTCATCCGTTGATTTGAAACCCATCCCAGGATTAGCAAAACTTCTACACTACTAGTTTATTAGCACGCTATCGTCAAGCGATCAAATAGTGACTAAAAGTGAGAGATGACTTTCATAAAATATCCGTAAAAAGTATAAAATGAAATATAATAAAATGTAAAATGTCTTAGTGGATTCGCCGATAGAAGACGAATCTATCGATGTATCTAATTGAGGTTATTAATCTGATTTTATTTCACCACAGCACTTTGCCTATAAAGGACCCGTGCAGTCCATAATGGTATTCAAGATATCTTTATCAAATTGTCCTTGGTGGCATAGTGTTTTAATGAAAGTAATGAATACCCTGAAGATCTTATTTGCTTTCACTTCGCGTAATGTAAGTACCAAAGGCGGATAGCACAGTGGTAGCGATGTCCATCATCACGAGCATGGTGCTAATTAATTCCACACTGGGCTAACCAAACCTCCCATCTCTTCGGGGTTGGGAAATTAGTACCGGGCTTGTCTCGGGGAAAAATCACTCTCTACAATCCAATTAGAAACGTTCCGGCCCGACTATCTCACGACTCCAGGGAGAATTGCTCGACCAGCATTCTACGATAGTCAAGGTGAAATGAAAATGCTCAAGCACCGACCGAAGCCACATGAAAAAACGTGGTAGATTTTCGTCGATAATGAATGCGAGAAAACGAGTCGAATGTGGGAAGTGCTGGGATCCGCACAGTAGGCGTGAAGACGGGCTAAATGAAATAAAATGAGAAGTAAATAAATGTAAGCAGCACAATCCGCTATTAACAGTAACGCTGCTACTTCTTTTGACAGCTGCAAGTAATTTTTTATTAATTTATCAGAGTCTTTAGGAACCTACGAACTTCACATATTTATAAATGCGTTGCTGTTTTTTAATTTGTCGCCTAAGTCTTAAACCTATTTGAACTTCAGGTATCGCGCTTTGCCTAATGAAATAACCCCTCTTCGGTCACTCTGCTATACAAAGTGCAAACCTTGATTAGAAGAAAAAACAGCAGAGGCTCTGTGGGCTGTACAGAGTCCCTATTTCTTTGTAAAACATCTATTTTCTTGTCAAGGATTTTTACACGCTAGTGATTCGCTCATTTTCAGTTAGTGAAATCCAATAGGGAGTGAAATGCGTTTACTTAGAACTGAAACGTGTTGTGTATACATCACATCGTTAACAATGTAGTAAAATTATTGGTAAATGAAGGCTAGGGAATTTTTTGAATGGGAAAGGGTTGTTATATTCTTCTGTTACTTTTTAGTAGTGTTATTTAAGGAAGGAGCTGGTGAGCTTCTTCGACAACCGTCCCTGGAGTCAGTGGCATCACTGACCAGTCATCGGTCATCAATGTCCTCATCAAGCAAGTCGAGCCGTACTGACAAGAGTAGTTTGAACAGTTTTGGGAAGACAAAAAAGAGCTGGGTAAGAAAGAAAATGAATTGGAAGCGTTCTCAGTTAGGGACAAGAACTCAAAAGCTTTCAGTAGAAAGTGTCCCAGCGACTATTTTAGAAGGTCAATTTTACTACGATCACAAATTTTGTTACGCATTTCATACACTTAGACACTGAATGGGACCTCGTCGTTTCTTTTCTGTCGCAAGGTTTTCCAATTTGATTTTGAAAAGAGAAAATCTGTATTTCGAATGAAATTTATCTCTTCTAGTAGATCACATAAAAGGATGAGCTAAAACCAGCATTTAAAAGAATAGAAATGATATCACCGTGCTTTTTGAGATACTTCATCCCAATAAAGACGTTTTTAAGCGCCATAGTGGAGCTGTTTCGATACTTTCGCTATTTCTTCCAAAGTCAGCTTGACAAGGCTTAGTTCTTTGAATGAAAACATCTTGTCTCCATGAAAATCTTGAATTCAGTCGTCTTGGATGATTTCCTAAAGCGTTTCAGTGTTTTGTTCAAGCTCTTCAGAAAATTTCACTGAGCGCTTTACTTCAGTAACAAAACATTCTTATTTTTAGACCAATGGTGTGGATGTGCAGGTAAATGCATCGGTGTGAGAGTCTCGTGATCGTGTCAGTAGTGTTGGTGGGAATTTCAGCTTATGACTCTAAGTTGATATTTCATAGATTCGATCTTCGCTGACGAAAGCATTCTCGAAAAAGAAGAGCAAAAATGGTGGGATATCGGATACAGAAGGGTCACCTCATCATGCGCTGAATACCATCAATGGATCATCAAACAGGTATTTGTAGTTGCCGAATCTTTATGAGGTATCAAAGTCATTCATATTCAGTTCTTGGAAGCACGTAAGTTTCCAAAATATTGAAGTAAACTAAATTACAACCACAACGTTGCTGAGATATTCGCAAAACTCTGGACCGCAGGTGTCTATGGTGGGGAACGAACGCGCTATTTTCCTTTCCGGGGAGTAACGCGTTCACCACCACACCATGCGGGTCCTTTGTTTCGCACGTCTCTCAGCTATTTCTATCGATCTTTTTGCCACAGCAATCACCCGTCAGCGGGGTCGTTCCCCACCATAGACACCTGCGGTCCAGAGTTTTGCAAATATCTCAGCAACGTTGTGGTTGTATTTCGCTTACTTAGTAACCTGCCATGAAAATTATAGAAGGCAGAAAACAAAATGTTAAACATTGTAAACTAAATTAATTCACTGTTTTTCTTTAGTGAGCAGACACGAGGCTGATATTATAGAATTTATTAGCATACAATAGCTGACGTTTCGAAAGCTGACGAAAGAAAATTGACTTTCATTCTTCAACGTTCGTATTAACCTATCCCAAAAGGACTACATTACATAATGAAAACAAGTGGTAAGAATACAGTGGTTCATTACTTCTCCTCTCATCCCTCACATATCAAAAGGGCGCTTGTTATAAATATTTTACGAACACCCACCGACTTGTGCACAAGAAGAGAGCTGAAGGAAGAATCCTTGAAATCGCGCAGCACAACAATTTCGAATGGCTACGAAACTAAGCCTCTTGGGATAGGCGCAGAGGAAAAAAATCAAGCGCCCTAAACAATAATTCTAGTGAGAGTGAAGTCCGTATCCTGCAATTTATTTCCAACGGATTGAGTGCATTTATAAGACTTTGCTTAGGAAGGGCCAGTCTAGAGAAGTCGGTAACAGTGATAGAAATAACACCAGACACTCTAAGATGCCAACTGGTTCGCAACCGTCCATACGACCCTCCAGGTGCAACGAAAAATTGCATAATAAGCTCTAACGGTAGAGACGGTGATTGCAAAAGTTTGAGTGCAGTTTATCTGATCTCTTGCAAAGCGTGCGAGGACAAACATATCTGCAAACGGATAGACCGCGTCCGTCATCTAGTCAGTAAATTTAATTGGGAACAAACACTCTACTAGGTGCCCATAACGCAGAAACATAACGGAGAAGATTTAGAACTAAAAGTCACTACCCTCGCACAGGAATCCAAAACTTCAGCGTGAGAAACTATTGGAGCGTTTTGGATTAATTCCAAGAATCCAAAATTGAACAACAAGGGGAAGTGCGTTATAGTGACGCGTAGCAGTTTAAGCCGATCCTGCGATTGACCCTTTCACTTTCTTCGTCCATGTTATACTCTGTGAGGCTGCTTTCCACCAATTAACTGTAATGCTTACAACGAATAAGGATGGTGAGTGTTTAAAAGAAGCTGCTTACTATGCGAATGCAAAATTGTGTGTTATGTCTTATCTGCTAAGTCCATTAAAGTGTTTGGCTTAGCAGATTGCATGTCCGTTTGACCTTTCCGGGCTCTGAAGAAGGCGAAACCGCCTTAACGTTAGCTATTTTTTGCTAATAAATTCTATAATACCAACCTCGTGTTTTCTCACTGAAGAAAAACAGTGAATTGACAACCAGTGCAGAAGGTAACAGAAAGTCAGTATTGGGGATAAGTTATATTAGTTGAATTTTATTGATGAATTTCAAGAACATCAAAGGTAAATGATATCCCAATGATAAATTAGCAGAATATCAATTGATAACATATTGAGTATTTTGCTTAATTAATTTGTTAATGAAGGCTTGATGAAGTGGAAGTGGACGAGTTGAAGAAGAAACTTGAGGATCGTGATGTAGCGTTGACAGATATCCGACTAGATGCTTTGGACAAAGCAAGAGAAGTGGATATCCTAAGGGAAACAGTTAATAGGTTAAAGGTCAGTTTCATATTTTTTATATGAAGTACATAGTGTGTTTTCTTGTAATACTGAGAATAACCACAATGAAGTTCTCTATGATCATCACAAAACTAGTATAATTTGTCCTCTGTCTAAATTCTCTGTTCACGAAAGCGACAACCATTTTAATCGCATCCACTGCTAAGACGCATTCATGTATAAGGAAACCATTTCATTCTTTTGAAGCGCAAATACTAGTTTATAACTTGATAAGAAACATTTGAGCACGAGAATAAACAACTTAAAAGCGACATGTCACGGCTGCTGGCTGGTCGCTGTTCAAGAGCATCTTCACAAGCCTCGATTCCCATACTTGGAGATGAGGAACCAGTTTACGAGGCTCCTCCCATCAGTGCCTGCGGAAGTTATTCGAGTAATCGTGAGTAGTTGGAAATCGAGTGCAGTGTGTAAAACTGCTACTTTAACAATATTTTTAGCTGTCTAGAAAAACTTCCAGGTTCATCTGGCTGTAATTCAGTCAAAGTGACGGTAAATGTCGACTTACGCGGAATAATAAGCAACGCGATTTGTCCTGATAACGAGATCATTATCGGGTTTCTCGAGATTCCTGGGAAAGGTGTTTCCTGGGAGGAATTAGACCAACAGATCTTCTCGCTCTTCGAGGTGAAATCTAAGTTTTCATCAGCATGTACGTTGGGAACTATGATTGTTTGTTCAGCAGTCGTTCCGAAATTTTTCTCAATTTTAGCCTAGTTAAGGCTCCAGTGAACAGTTGTAAAAACCAAATTAGTATTGGACTTCTTTAAAATTTACTAGTACATGAGATTTGCTTTTCTAGGCCTACATAGCTCGTATTGATCCCGACCGTCATCTTGGTTTACATTGCTCGGAAAGTGTTATTGGCTATCAAATGGGAGAAGTGGTTCGTGAAAAAGGAACCGCCCACCCTGGAAAAGTGCCAGGGGAAGTGTTGACGCCAACTACTACGGTACGGATGTTTCTAAGAGGTGAGAATTATGTTGAGTAATATTACTACAGCTCTTTTCTTGTAGCACAATGGACATAGTGTTCAAAATGTTTGATTATAGGCAGCTTAAATTTATCCCTTATTGCACAAATAACATATGTATCCGACTGGATGCTTGTAACAGTCTTATTACGTTTCTGACTTAGACTTAGAAGTGTGTAACGCAATAGTTGGAGGTGCGCTGCAATACAAATTTGATCGGTCATTCTTTCAATTCCGTGTCCTGCAGTCACCAAGCTCAACATTATTTCTGTATCGGCAAATTGATATCAAACTTGCCTGGGAAAATAAGATAACTGATACATCAGTATGCAACCACAAGCCATAGTATAGGCCAGATATGCATTTAATCACCTGCTTGATGAAGTCGAATGCCCAGAGCATTCCTAAGAGATCGACCAACTCTGAATGCACTGTCCTTTAATGCTTGGTGAACAAAGATATTTTTCCTCAAGCTTCAAAATAGTCGCTCCACTGGTTTCTTAGAAGTCATCACAAAATGCAACCACTAATCGTGAGTCAAGCAGAAGTCTATTGCAGAAGACCAATTGATTTATTGAATAGAAATATGGATGTGCTTAGTGTAACCATTTGGGTTATGAAAGCCCTTTGTACATCAGCGACCAGGAGCAATCCAAACTACCATGAGGAGTTAACATAGATGGCAGAATAGAAAGCGTCTAGTACCCCTTTCAACTTTTTCCGTTCTATGCGCTTTCTGTCTTAAGGTAGTCTTCAGCAATCTAGGTGCTGCATAAGAAAGCTGGATGATTAGTCAGCAGCACGGCGAACACCGTCAAGGGAATTTGGGGTCAAAAGACCGACTTTCCATAAAGCTCAACATAAATGGTCTATATATCTACACATCTTCTTACGAACTGCCCTTCTTGAGGTGGTGCGAGGTTGGTATAAGTTGTTGTTGTTGGCACTGTTGTCGTTGTCGTTGTTGTTGCTGTTGCTGTTTGATGGTTAACGTTCCGGCGATATCGCCTTCATTAGAGCTTGGACGTTTTTTGTGTAACAGTAGCCTTGTAATTTGGTGAAAAATCCATACTATTAGTGAGAATCTAACACTTAAATAAACTCCATATTGATCGACAACTACTTACTGTGCTGTTGCGAATAGGACCGCCCGTCTTGTTCACGTGTGATGGAGAGTGAGGCCCAACATAGTCAAAATATCGGTTTGGAAAAGGACGCCGGATCACGTGTGATAGTGAGACATTCGTCTTTCCGGTTCATCTTTGGACTTTTGAAATTTATCCAAAACGTCTGAAGACTTTTGCTTGTTGATGCTTTCGATTCCTGCACTAGGATTTGGACAATCACTTTAAAATGCTAAGTGCTTTCGTGCCTTATGTGTACCTAGAGCAGTGCTTTATCGAATTTTAGGTTTCCCATTTAAGGATACTTTTTGCGGACACAGAGTGGTCTACCTGTTTCTCCAATATAATCTTCACCGCAAGCCTTACATGAGACCGAGCATACCGTACCTGAACTCATGAAATCCCGTCTCTTCCGTAGGGCAGATCACACTATTTTCTGAGCTGCACAAACCATCATTAAGGCGGTTGCGGAATAATTGACGGCATAGGGTATTAGGTGGGAGCAGGAGTCAAAGACATCAACGCGCAAGACTGTTGAGGGGTTTTGAATAAATTTCAAAAATACAAAGATGATCCAAAAGACGAATGCCTCACTATCACACGTAACCTAGCGTCTTATTTCAAATTCGTTTTGTTGATCTAGGTGGGTCTCAGTCGTCATTCCACGTGAACAACAGGGGTACTCCCACTCGCAACAGCACGATGAGTAGTTTTTGATCAATATGGTGTTTATTTATATGTCAGATCTTCTTTAATACTGTATATTTCTCGGGGAACTGTAAGATTATTGCTAGATTGAATACGTCCTGGCTCTAGGGAAGGCGAAATCGCCGAAACATCAGCCATCAAACAACAAAAACAACAACAACGACATCTTATGTCAATCTCACATCATCTTAACAGTGACAGTTCGTAAGAACATATATAGCTATAATGTGCTGGAAGTATCGCGCTAACGAGGAGGTAAATCCGGAGTTCCAACCAGCATCAACGTCTACTGATTATGGACATTGTTGCATACGGCAATGTGTTCAAAGTCAAATAAGTCAAATGGGTAGCACATCTGGTGCATCTTAACAATAATTTAAACGCAAGGAGCCAGTACTGTCAGTGACTAGATCTTTCGAGATATCAAGCGTACAGAAAAAAGACCACTGATCAAATTGTCGCGCTATCTCATAAGGATCCTAACAAGACGGATGTAATACTCTCCGATTTCCCAGGGAAGGCAGACCTCAGTGGGCCAAGCTGATAGGCGACAACAATGTGTGAATATCACAATGTTTCACTTTTTATTTTCTGCCTACTACAATTTTCACGGCAGCGGTTTATGCGAAATACAGCCACAATGATACTGAGGTATTTGCAAAACTAGCTGAGAGACAGGCGAAACGAAGGACTAGCATGGTGTGGTAGTGAGCGCGTTACTCCCCGGAAAGGACAATAGCGCGTTCGTTCCCCACCGCAACACCTGCAGTTTAGAGTTTTGCAAATATCTTAGCATTATAGAAGTTTTATTTTGCAACATACCCTGCCGTTAAAAAGAATAGGCGGTAAATAAAAAGGTTAAGATTGTGATTACAACTATAGCCTCAGCTTAACTGGGTTCAATGCCGATTTGGACTCCACAGATCAATCCCGTTGGCGGGTGATTGCTGATGGCAAAAGATCGATAGAACTATCTGAGAGACAGGCGAAATGAAGGACCTGCATCATGTGGAGATGAATGCGTTATTCCCGGAAACAGCAATAGCGCGTTCGTTCCCCACCGCAACACCTGCGGTCCGCAGTTTTGCAAATATCTCAGCACTATTGTGAATGTGTGAATACTTCTTTGCACCAATATTGCGGCGACTGTGATTTTTTAGAGAGGCAAATTGAGCCTTTTCATCTATATCTGCTCTAAAAATTGGAGCTGTGGAGCAGGGAAATCTTTTGTAATCCGACAAATATTTTAATTCAAAAGTAAAAGCTAGGTGCTTTCGCTTTTATCAATGAGCATATTAGTAATAATGAATAGTAAAATATTGAGCAGAATTTGGAAACAGGGAGAACTGAAATTGCAGGAGCTGCTCAGTACGCTGTTGATTCTCTTGTTCTCGAATGTCTTTTTCCGCGGACAATGCTTGAACAGTTGCTCAAATTCTTGCTCTCTCATCGACGCCTTGTACTTTCTGGTGCTACTGGAATAGGAAAGGTAAACTATTTTCATTCGCTATCTATGTTGATTTTTGCCGATTCTGTAATGACTCAAAAAAATGGATAAAAGACGAAAAAGAATGGAAAGTAAAACGATAAAAAACGGTGATGAAAAGACCTAGCGAGGTTAGCAGCAATAGGTATTGTCAGTACTTTTTTCGGATGCTTCTTGAATCCTTACAAATTGGTTATTTACGACTCCATCTCCGATTGCTACCTCTGATAAATGTCGTCGGAATCGTTCTTTTTGCAGAGCAATCTCGCTCGTCAACTCGCTGCCTACCTCTCAGTGAGGATTGGCCTCGATCGCGATGGCGTCGTCGACGTGAAGATACCGGAGGATGCCAGTGACAAGGGAATCGTTAAGGTTTCAATGTTTTCACTTATATTCGATATTGTCGCCATTTTTTTTAACGTTAGGATTTTAGGTTGAGAAACAATTGGAAGGACTTTTGAGATCTGAGGAGTCGTCGGTAATCCTTATCGATAACATCCCTAGGCACCGAATTGCGTTCGTTTCCTCCGTCTTCTCATCTGTTGAGCTTAGTCACGAAGGTACGTGCTTTTAGAAGATCGAGACACTTCCTACCTTATGTTCCGTGGATGGAGTTTAATATTTTCTGGTGACTTAGATCCTACTTCACGGATCTCCTTCATATGAGGGATCTCGAGCTGGTTAGTCGCGACGCTACTTGGCACGTTCCCAGGTGGCGGATAGGGGGTTAATCGCGGACCATAAACGACCTTTACTTCCTTGAGACGCAGATGGATCCGGGAGATGAACTCCCTGTTTCCGCCGCGCCCATTTGGCAGATACTTTCTGTATTTGCTAGGCGTATTCATGCGTGCGTGTGTGGGTGCGTTTTAGTTTATGCAGATTGTATTCTACGAGTCATTTCGGCCAAAAGCCTGCAATCAAGTGATAAGAAAGTATACGAGAGACGGCTAGGAGTGGTCTCAACAATTAAGCTTCATGTCCACTCGGGAGATCCTGGCAAGCTACCCGTGAGTATAACCAGCCCCCACGTTTAGAGCCCAACAAACTTTACTTGGGTATTAAAATACTAAACACAGTAAAGAAAAAAACGGGCCTCATTCCATTGACTCCGAAAGAGCTACAATTTCGCAGCGTTGGGTAGGACGAGTAGGGAAAGGCTGCTAAAATCTCAGGGACAATGGAAGTTGCCTGGATTTCAAAGAACTATGGTGACGACTTGTACCTACAATGCACGTACACTTGCATCCGAGTCCTCGATAGAAGACTTGCTCATGCAAGCAAGAAGGATAAGGTACGACGTCGTCGGCCTGGCCGAGACGAGAAGACGCCAGCCTTTCAACACCGTCTATGACACCGGAGAAGAACTGTTCCTGGGAACATGCGACAGTAGAGGAGTTGGCAGCGTCGGCGTTTTCGTAAACACTAGTTTGTCCATGAACATCGATTCATTCGAACAACTTACAACCCGAATCGGACGTTTACGATTAAGCAGACGTGGATCAATTTCAGTTTTGACAATCCTCGTTGTTTACGCGCCGACATCAAACTATGACGAAGAAGAAATTGAAGCATTCTATGTGGAATTGGGGAAGTGTTACAGAGAACACCATACATTCGTAAAGTTCATCATCAGAGATTTTAACGCCAAGATTGGATCAAGAAGAACGTAACATTGGAAGCTATGGATTAGAATGGAACAGACAGGGTGGCGGCTGCCTGAGTTTATCATGACGACCAAGACCTTCCATGGTAACTCGCAATTCCAGAAGCCCCACCTTCAGCGCTGGACGTGGGAGTCTCTCAATGGAGAGTACTATAACGAAATAGACCACCTCATAGTAAATAGAAGGTTTTGCCTAACCGATGTCGCTGTTGTCTCAAAATTATACATGGGATTAGACCATCGTCTCCTTCGTGGAAGATTCAATTTGTCGACGAAAGAAGAAAAAGTCGGTAAATTCCAAAACTGAACTCCCAGAACCACCACATACTGGGGCTTATTCAATTCATTAGTCGGCTGTTGGGAAGATGCCGTTGTCGATAGCATCGAGGAAGAATACGATCGGCTCATTCAACATCTTTACGTTAGCGCTATGAAAGCTGAGAGTTCGAAAGTCACCAAGAGACGTCTGTCTCCGGAAACACTCGTGCTAATACGCTAGCGTGGAATCGAACGTGCTGCAAGCAACCGCGAACTAGCGTCCGAACCTGAAAAACAATGCAGACAGGTGATAAAAGAAGATCTTAGAGGGAGAAGAGCTGCAGTAATGGTCGAAGTTACAGAGGCTGGGAAAAGCATTCGCAAAGCCCACCGAAGCTTCGCCAATGACAAGACCAAAATGATTGCACTTCGGCCCCCAGACGGAGCAGTTGCAGCATCCAGAAAGGCAATGGAGAAAATCATTTACGAATACTACTCGAATCTCTTCGATAGCCACGTCCACCTTCAGTCATATGAAATAAAGGAGGATGGATATGTTGTGCCACCAGTTCAACCTTCCGAAATCCGACATGCCATTTCATCGGCGAAAAATCGAACAGCACCAGGTCCGGACAAGATAAGGCCAGTACACTTGAAGAACCTTCCGCGAGTCCTCGTGAACACATTGGCTCGGCTCTTCACGTTAGCTATCTGAATGCAAGGTCCCTACTCAGTGGAACACCAGCAAGACCATGTTATTGTTCAACAAGGGTGGCCTACACGATATCGAGAATTATCACCGAATCTGCTTACTGCCTGTCGTCTACAACTTTTCATTCGAGTCATCCTAAACAGGATGGACAGAACACTAGACGAAGGACATCCATGTGAGCAAGCAAGGCTTCGAAGAGGATTTAGTACGATGGACCACATCCACACGTAGACACGGCTCATTAAAGTATTGCGAGAGTACAAAAGACCGCTCTGTCTCACTTTCATCGATTTACAGAAGGCCTTTGATTCAGTTGAGATAGGAGCAGTTATGGAAGCCCTTGATAATCAAGGAGTTCCTACTCAGTACATGAAGATTCTTCGTGTGCTGTACAGAAATTTTACAACCAAGGTATCACCATTCTACAACGATATTAGCACTGACCTCAAACAAGAGTTAGACAAGGCGATACCATCTCGCTAAAATTATTTACTGCCTCCCTCCAGAACGTCATGCAAACATTGGTATGGGATAATATGGCAGTGCAAATTGACGATCAGCAGTTACACCATATTCACCTTGCTGATGAGATCGTCCTTATAACACCAGACATTATCCAAGCAGAACGTATGCTTGACGACTTTGATAAAGCCTGTGGTAAGATTGCTCTTCGACTAAATCTCACAGAAACGATGTTCATGAAGAACGGATTGGTTTCGCATGATCCATTCACGCTCAACGGATCGAATTTCTCCGAATGCTCCAGTCATATCTCCAGAGCTGAGCAGAAGGAAGCGAGCGGCTTGGAGAGCATCGAGGATGTAGTGGAAATAACGAAGAAAACCGGACTACGTGTCCACCTTTTCGACTCAACGGTACTTCCTGCCCTAACGTATGCGTCGGAGACCTGGTCACTGCGTAAGCAGGATGAAGGGTCACTCAGCGTTGTCGAACACGCAGTCGAAAGGACGATGCTAGGAGAATCCCGTTCCACACAAGTAAGGGATGGGATCCGAAGCTCCGATCTGCGTCAGCGATCAAAAATCAAGGATGCCGTCCTGTAAGCCAAACATTCGAAGATAATGTGGGCCGGACACGTAATGCGTATGAATTACTACCAATGGACAAGAACCGTTAGTGAATGGATTCCTCATGATGTCAAACGTACTGCAGGAAGACCACCGACCCGATGGTCAGAGTTCTTCACGAAAAACCTGGAAGAAATATATGATGCTCGACGAGAACCTAGAGCGAGCAAAACCCACTAGGCTATTCTTACACGCCACAGGGAAAAATGGAAGATTTACTGGCTCCCGCTTGAGTCACTGGTCGACCAATGGGACTGCAGATGATACTGGTGATTAGATCTTATTGTTCAACTTCCAGGAATCGTAGTTTCAGCCTACTATGTAGAAATTCGAGTTTATTGGGCGCTTTAGCTGACATTGTTTTCTTGCCTTCTTGAATCTTCACCTATGATGTTTGCGGCAAGATATAGACTGTAGTACTGCGTTCATTTAATCACTTTACAACTATTTACTTTTTATTACTTTACTTTATCTACTTTAGGACTTTTTATTTATTGTTTGACTTTTATCAGTTTCATCCAGGTCGCGGATGTAATTCAAAATTTCGCTAACTCTCTTTTTGGATTATACTCCAAGTACTGCAAACACCGCTTCCGACAGTTTACCGCCTCATAGTGCCTGTGAGGTGTTCCTGGGTGTCGGGCTACGATATGCACAGACGTTTGGAAACCCAGCTAAGAGTAAACTAATACCAGAATTCACCTCCGTTCTGGTATGAAACTAGTCGCATGATGGCAAATCTCTCTGATCCACAAAGGCGGCAACTACCTTTGGTGGTGTCGACCTGAGGCAGACTTTGACTAGGCTGGCCCCCGAACTCCAGGGAAGCATAATAGCTTAACCAGCAAAACTTCGAAAAATGGAGAATATTCTGGGGCCCACACAGCCAGTGAGGACGGGTGGTCCAAGTATCCAAGTAAGCCTGAACACTATCGCAAACACCAAAATGTAAATTTTGAGGAGTACAATGTTTAACGTTTTGTTTTCTGCCTTCTATAATTTTCATGGCAGGTTACTAAGCGAAATACAACCACAACGTTGCTGAGATATTTGCAAAACTCTGGACCGCAGGTGTCTATGGTGGGGCAAAAAGATCGATAGAAATAGCTGAGAGACGTGCGAAACAAAGGACCCGCATGGTGTGGTGGTGAACGCGTTACTCCCCGGAAAGGATAATAGCGCGTTCGTTCCCCACCATAGACACCTGCGGTCCAGAGTTTTGCAAATATCTCAGCAACGTTTTGAGGAGTACAGTTTGAACTCATTTCGCGCACTTGCAAATTTCTTTTCATATAGTTGATAGTATGTGACATTAATAGTTAAAAGCAGTAGTAATATCAAAACATTAATGGAAATTGTAGTGGTGAAATACAAATGGATTTCCTTCCACGGCTTCTAAAGCTTCCCTGTGAATCCGGAATGCGTGTAGTTTCCGAAATGCATGTACGCTTTCTAGCCAGCACTGAAACGTGAAACCGTGAGGTTGCTGCTTTGGGCTTAGTACATCATAGTCTTTTGTTTTAAGGATGCAATTGAGGATTGTCGGTAATTGGTGAATGAATATTTCTTTTTTTTTGAAGGAAGTGCCGAAGACAAAACTCGTTATATTCCAGATGGTCCGTTCGTAATCTGTACGGTGAATAGAGCGTGTCAACTACCAGAAATGCAAGTGCATCACAATTTTAAAATGTTCTTGCTCACAAATCGCATGGATGGAGTTAAAGGTTTCATGGCGAGGTGAGTGACGGTTGTGTTCTAGAAATTTCGTTATGATCTATTTGTCTTTTCCGAAACATGCTTTCATTCTAAGCGAACTTTTCAATCGAGAAAACTTCTTCCAGTTCACAAATATACTTCGTGCTGATATCTTCAGCAAAAAGATAAGGGATAAAGCTCTCGGCGTTGTTCAATCCCTGAGGGATGTGCCATGCATTCGACTTAATCATACATCGTTTGGAGGTGATTGAATGCATATCTGGCCTTTACAATGACTCACGGCGGCTTACCGATGTATCGACCCAGTGCTGCTATCCTCTCAAACAAGTCTGGTACCAATTCGCCGACCCGAGATGGAAGGCTTGGTGGACCATGGGCGCCGGCACTGATTTCTCATGTGTGTCAGGGGCCATGTGCGCAGGGCGCCTCCATACATACCACGCGTCCCCTTCATACTTAACTAAACCTTCTGTTTAATTGATGTGGAAGAATAAGCTTATGGATGAAGCACTACGTTGTGAAAATTGCTGAGAGCAGACTAGAGATGAAATCCAGCGTCGTACTGAAATCGTGCTGCGTGTTTACGTAAACGTGTTTCTATGAAGCACCTGATTTATTAGAAAACTCATTCAAATGTATTAAATGAAATTCTAAGACTTGCTTATTATCACCGGCATATTTTATGTTGATTCGCATCAGTTGTAAGTACTGGAAATCTCAACGCCTCACCTAGACTAATCCTTATTTTCGTTTTGAGACATGGACGGACTCTTGAAGTGCTTTCGAGGCATAATACACTCCCTAACTCCTACAATTTTCCTCGTGGGAGCAGTACACTCCACGATGTAGCTCTAGAGTTCTTCTCGTTGAGACCATTGCAAGCTTTCGTGCACCACTTGAAAATATTTCACAGGAGAAAACTCATGAGAAACATGAGCTGAAATAGAAATATTCTTAGACGCAACGTCTTATTGCATTCACATGCTTACCCGAGTTTATTCAGTAAGCTTTTATTGTGGTTAACGTTTCGGCGCTTTCGCCTTCTTCACGGTCGAGAGGCTTCTACTCGCTTGTCTACAGCCGCAATAAAAATTATGTAACAACCTCATCTATGCTTATCAGTATAATAAATGGATGTCTTAGACAGTTTTAGTTTTACAAGATATCGTTTGTGTAGTACTCTACATTCCTTGTTCGATGATAATCATTGCAGTTGCAGATTTTTGCGCCGCAGAATCGTCGAGGCTGAATTTCGGCTGTCCCGTCAAACGCCTCCGGAACTGATGCGCGTGATTCAATTTCTGCCTATTGTCTTGCAGGTAATCTTTGAATCAGCGGAAAGCGTGCTGGTTCTTTCAATATCTGTTGCTTGTTTCGTTATCTTCGTAGTTTGAGCTCGCTTTTGCATTCCGAGTTGTTCCCAGCCGTCTGACTATAGGCTGTCTACCTTGTCAGCGATGGTTCGATGGTTGTTTTTATCTCTTGTTCACTATAGAGCGATATTACAGCCACAAACAAATATATATATATGCATATTATGTATGCACATATATATATATATATATATATATATATATAGTTTTATTGAGTGAAGTAAAAATCATCCAGTTGAACCATTGATGTCACGTAACCCTAAAATTACTTCTGTTCTCACTTCTTTTCCTTTCGTGCTGGTATTTCGAGCTGCGAAGCGCTTGAACAAATTCGATATCGTCCAATAATGTACGATATGCACTTGAAGGCGCCGTTGTTTTCTTCAGGCGCAATTCATGAAAGGTCCAGACTTGATTGAAGCAATATTTGTGAAAAATTGTACAAATCTTCACAGTGACAGGACGAACTTCTATAAGGCTGCCGTGTTTTCCCATATAGTCTAGTTATCGGAAAATTGTCGGTGGTTATCGAAAAATAAATATCGCCGTGACCAAGTTAATTGCAAACGTCAGATTTGCTTACACTTCCTATTTCTTGTTAGACATAGTGTTTTGTCAACATATTAACTTTATTTTTTCGGTAGCGTATCACTAAATACACCTTTAAATAGGATTTCCAGTGGAATAGTTTCATAAGTTTCAGGCCGTGAATTCGTTCATCGAGAAGGCGAACTCTCTCGATGTTACCATTGGGCCACGAATCTTTCTACAGTGCCCGCTTGGAACCGAAGACTCGCGCACATGGTTTGTGCAGCTGTGGAATCAGAATATTGTGCCATACATGATTAAGGTAGCCAGAGAAGGTGGGTCAATACTCACATTCTTTCTTGGTGTTCAATTAACTTCAATGCATGAGAACTGAAAAGCTATTAAATGATTATACTAACTGATTTATGATGTACGTAAATGCTATAACGATATGTACTTTCTAACAATTTTGCTACCAACCACAGTAATGTTGAGGCATTTGCAGAGCTGATGCCAGGACAGATTTTAACCCGCAAATACCTTTTCTGCGAGCTCACCTCTTACCCACTGCACCATCAAGGTCCTTGCTTCGCATTTCTCTTAGTCAGTTTTTTAGCCTAAGGGTGCTATCAGCAATTAGAGTTAACGGTAATGATTTTACCTGTTAACGGGAATGCTCTGTGAGCACAGATCGGCATAGGAGCCAGTTAAACTGGGGCTGCAGTCGAAACCGAGTGATTGCTAATACACCGGCAAATCGTTGCCTCAAAAAACTGGCCGAGAGAAGGCCAAAGCCAGGGCCTCGGTGTTGTAGTGGGTAAAACATTTGAACCCCTCGAAATGGTAATCGTAGGTTCGAATCTGGATTGGCGTCGTAGTATTGCAAATGTTTCAGAATCATTGTGGTTACATTTCACATAACACCCTGCTGTGAAAAAAGCACTCACTTGATACTTGAAGTCCTCACTGGTTGTGTGAGCCCCAGCATAATCTCCATTTTCGAAAATTTGCTGGTCAAGCCGTTGTGGTTTCCTGGAATCCCGAAGTAGGCCTGGTCAAAGTCTGTCCCAGGTCTTCACCACCACAACCGGGTGCAGCTCTCGTATATCAAAGGGAGATTTGCTACCATGCGACTTTGATACCGGGACGGTGGTGGATCCTGGTATTGGTTTAGTCTTAGCTAGGATTCGCGATGGAAACGCCGGACTCCTCAGCTTGGGACCCTGTCGGTGGAGAACCCTTCGCTGTAGATCGCAGCTCGACACCCAGGAACACCTCCCAGCCACGATGATGCGGTAAACCATTGAAAGGGAAAATAATAATAATAGGCAGTAAATAAACAGTTGAACAATGTTTCTATCAAATCGCTTGACGCGTCCTACCGAATTGCGCCTACCACGCGACATTTTCTAATTTACTGATACTTCCCCTTTTACTTTCTCTTTTTCTCACCACATTTCGAAGACATCCATGCCTGGACATTCCGAAGTCCCTGCACTATGTTGAAGTTAAAGCGCCACCGACTCTGGTCACGATAACAGGACAAATCATTAAAGGGCTGAAAATTTAATGTTTCTTTTTATGTTGAGGTTGCAAAATTCGGGGCTTGAAAAGTTTACTCTAGAAGGACTACACCTATTTATTGCTAGCATGAAGTCTGTTACAAGTTTTCCAAGTTTTGAATTCTATAAGAGTCCCAAGTTGCAGAGGAGCGGTACAAAAACGCCGCCTCTCCATCGTCACGTCTTCACTTCTCATGGGTCATGAGAACGCGGCGATCAATAACAATCTCGTTGTAATCTAGCGAATCCTAGAAAGAAGATATTTTAACAAAAGATCTTCAAGATAAATAAGTTTGTAATTTATTACCAGTGATTGTTATGCGTTTGCGAATCAGGGGAGTACAGTGGAATACACGACATGTAACTTTTTCTTTACTGCCTTCTATTTTTTCATGGCAAGGTATTATGCGAAATAAAAGCACAATGATTCTGAGATATTTGCGAATCTCAAGTGCCATGACAGATTCGAAACAGCGATTAAACTTTCGGGGGCTCACGTGTTATCCACTACACCACTAAACCCCTAAATTTGCCCTTCTGTCAGCCAGTTTTTTATTCTAGCGATGCCATCAGCCATAGTGAAAAATACTAGATGTAACGAGAAATTCGCTATCAGTATTTATAACACAATACCTTCATCACTTACTTTTCGTTTTACTTTGCATGGAACTTGAGGCATGAAAAGTAGGTATTGAAAATTTACTGGGAAGGAGCATTGCAGGTGTAAAAGTACTTGGACGTTGTGGATCATTCGAGGATCCGACGGATATTGTATGTGAGCACTGGCCGTGGTTGGAAGGTCCATCAGGAGAAGAATGTCTGCATAGGTAAGTGTCTTACTCCATTTTTTCCTCTGGTCTCTATTACCCTAGCTGGTCTAGTATTTCTGCACTAGCCATAGGTTGAATTCTTTCAAAGTAGTTAGATTGTGTTTCTTAGTTTCGAGAAGTAACAGTCGCTCTGGCACATGAGCTCAAAACTGTTTTGTTTATGTACCTATTTTTTGATACGTAGATTTATTATGATGGCTACGTGCAGCGTAGAGTTTAGAGGTGCCCTGCAACACAAATGTGCTTTTTGCCTCGATTCCATGCTCCGGGACCATCGATTATTCCATCTCTCCGGGGTCGGCAAATCGGTGCCAGATTTGTCTGGGACGATAGCAGCACTGTCTTGATACATCGTCAGACCACTGCAAGGCATTGCATAGGCCAGAGATGCATTCAATCGCCTCTGATGATGGTTAATGAACTATAATATATGACACAATTCCTTAGCGAGTGACTAGTACTGAGAGCTTTATCCTTTATCCTTTTCATCTAGTTATCATGCACTTTGAAACGTCGTCACTAGTGCCATATTGTACAGGATGAAAAACTGAAACGGCAAAGAGCTGTTCTGACCTTGACTTAATTCGCCTAAAACACTTTAGCGCCTGTGTATCTTCTCATTTACTGAAATTTCGACTATACTGGAAATTTGCGTGTTCAGTGGAATATGTGAGGTATGGATTCTCGTTTTTACTACAAAAAAAATTTCAGGTTATCGATTAAGGAGACCATTGCACAGGCGATGCCAAAGCAACCGTTCAACCCTCTCGACACACTCATTCGGCTTCAAGCCAGTCGTAATGCTGCCATCGATAATATTTAAGCAGATAAATCGATGTTCGCAAAAGTACATTTACATTTCCCACCATTATTTCTAGTCATCTCACGTATTCCATGTCGAAGACGGGTTCTAGTACTCATCTCTAATTCCCACCAAGTTAACCCGGAGTCTGCTTATTTCTAGCTGTGATTTTGTTTACAAAGTTATCCTCAATGTTAATTCCGGTCCACCGACTTTTCACATCGTAATCATTCTCAAACATGAAGTCAGCTTAAATTTTCCACTAATTCGAATAAATTCTCTGTTTTCCATGAACCTCAGGCTCAACCAGCTATTCTGTCTTCATAATTTTACGAGTGATGGTAAACTTTCACATAATCCTTCCAAAACCTTCCATAGTGCTTTTTGGACAGATTTACGTTTACTTGTGTGTTTGCATAAACATTTGAACCTAATTACTACTTTCTGGTATAACACATTGATATTAACACATACGTAATATAACACATAATGAATCGTGCATAGAAATCACGTTACCTCTGACCAGCAATCGAATATATGAACGGGAAGAAGTGCGGACAATATTAGAACGAAGATCAACTACGTTTCATCGAAGAAAATATCGAGATTAGAATACAGTCGGACACTTCCACAAATACGGGACGAGTTTGCTTAAACTGTGGTGAAACATGACCTATCTTCGGGTGTTGTGCAGGCCCAAGAATTTCCTTCTAATCTTTCGTCGTCCTGCAGCGACCATTCGTGCAGTTGATCGAATAAGCGTGTGCTTTAGATGCTAGTTGTGGATCTAGAAGTTAATTCCAGCTGTGAATGTAGTTCGTTTACCCGTTTAACAAACAATGGGGCATCTCCTTGTTGGTCTTCCTCAAGATCGTTTTGATTCTCTTGGGATCTCTACTATCACTTTTGTCCACCTGTCGTTCTTTGTTCTGACTACATGATTACGTTATGGAAGTTCAATTACTGAGGCACTTTGCTGAGAGGACTGTTTGGTTTTGAAAGTGCAGGTTAATCCTTAAAAGACGTACTCGCATGTACTCGCATGAAAGTCCACTCAACAGGTTATGCTGACAGTGGTTATGAAGATAGTCTCTATCTTCCTTTTCCGGTAAAATGACGGTAAGCAAGCTCATGTTTACATGCAAGTGTTCGCCAGTTTCTAAAATATCAACTGAAATACTCTCTGATCTAGGAATTATTCCAGCCCTCACACTTCTAAATGCAATTAACACTTCTGTGGGAAGAATTGTCGGTGGTGTGCTACACATAACAGGGTCTCCTTCCCAGGATTCCATACATTTTGATTATATTTATTCACTATTGTTAAATAAAATAAATACCAATAGTGGGTTCTAACCATATTTCGACAGTACTCGTATTCTTGACCGTTCATGTCCCTTCAGTGAAGTCCCCAATAATAAATCTGAAGGAGAATTCCTTGTTACGAACGATTTTTCCTATATCAAGTTCCTTATCATCAATTTCCTTGCTTGGCGAGTACCTGTTAACGATATAGACTTCTTTCTAATTAGCAAGTGCAATGTCCAAAATGGCAAAGTGGAAAGACAAACTTTAATGTTTTGACATGTTTTGTAATGAATGAATGAGGATGAATGCACAACAAAGACAACGTCACTAAAATCGAGCTATGGAATTCTCTAGATGAAATAACGAAGTTTGTTCGTTCATTTGTCGTGTGTTTGCTATCTTGTTTTTCCTCCCTTGAAAATAAATGAGGCATACAAGGTCTAGGTAAACATAGATGTCGCAGTTCAAAGAGACCGATCTGGGTTCATACGTAGATAATCGGGACTAGTCTCCATGCGCCTCCTTTGCTTTTCAGAATCAGTATTATCCGTTTATAGACTTAGTCCAAAGTGGCCTTCCCTAAAATCCTAAAAACCCGATCTGGCGCACTCTCAGGCATTTAACTGAGGCATTCCGGCGAAACGGAGATTCGCCGCTATGCGGTTAGTTTCTTCCAGTGTAGTAGCAAATTGTGTTAATAATTCGCAGAACGATAATGTAACATGTCCCACAGACCACACAGGAATCGCCAGTACATGAATCCTTGTACTAGTTAGTAATCTTTTAAATACTAGTATGCTGTATCGATAGAAAAGCCGATGCACCTGCACATATAATATGGACATTTACATCTGAAATGTGTACACAACAAATCAAAATATGTTATGTTAAGCCAAATAACACCATCGAACTCCTAAAAGTTTCAGCGCGCACTACTGACGTTACTGAATATATGGGATTACGGCAGAGCGTTTAACAAGCATTAGCATTAACATCACTTAATGTGTTGACATTAAATACAATAGTTTCCTACAGTAGCAAAATTTTACAAAATTATAGGTTGAAATGTAACAATGATCTTAGACAAAACTTTAGAAGAAAGCCACACTTCTACATATATACCGACAACTGCGACTGTTTATATACATTTACATAATACATTCTGTCTAATACAACCGTACCGAATATAAAACTTGAGTTCTTAAGTTAGACACCACAATTTTCCAACAACAGGACATGAAAAGCATTCCAACGATAGAGGAGAACTTATACATGAAGGCGTACTACGATTACCGACACGTTATCACCACACTTACGACGAACAGCCTCGGCAGCCAACTCATCAGCAATTTGTTGCCAAATTTCTTTGTCATCCATACCCTGAAGTTGACAAATAACATAAGCTTTGAAAGAATGCTAGGCTCTAATACCTCCAAAACAAATTTATGGCGACTTGTGGACCAGGTTCTGTAAGAGAATTAAAGTGTCAATAACTGTGTTGCAATCATTGAAATTATAAGAAGCCACTGACAAAGTAGTGCTTCAGTAACCACTTAAATCACATCAGATGAGTACACTAGTCTACGCAGGTCGTGTGAATGTCAACCTGTCGTACGAATCTAGAGTAACTATGGAAAAAGAATGGATGAGAATATAAATATTCTCATCTCTTTGAAAAATCCCTGAAGTAGAAAACTAACATGCAATAAAAAGAACAAAGTCAGCAGTGAGACAAGTAGTGAACTACTGGCTAGAAAAACCAGTACAGGAATAATTGGCGCCGTCGCGATTACCATTTACCTACAGCAAAACGTTTAAATTTCATTCCCCTTCCGTCAGTTCCATTAATGCGTCACTTATATTGAATAGAGAAAACGGAAATATGAAAACCTTGTCGACCAAAGAAGATTTCTCAATGCAATTGACGTTACGAAAAACATAATTCTATGCTAAGAAATGAAAAGAAAAGCTCACGAAATTGAAGACATTTTTGTGCCCAGCAGTATCTAACCATATTCAAAGCGTCTACCAAAGCCATGAACTTTCTTGAGACATAGTAATCGTACTGTATTATGAATTTACACTTTATGGGTTATAAATGACGCTTTGATGATTTATTGTGCAAAAGCAATAAAACTACAGATACCACACCCATTTACAACCATTAGTACGCTATGTGTCGTTGTTGAATAAATAAAAACCATAACAAATGTTGTTCTCTCACTCAAATGTTCACCTCTCACAAAAAATATTCATTTATCCCTCATTCATTGTAAATAACTCTAGTAAAGCCACAGGTAAAAGAAACATGGTAAAAAACCTAAACTTAGTAGAAGAATTAGAAGATTTTTGGAAACATCTATTATTTCACAATTATTCGTGGCTTCGTATACTAGCTAGGTCATTCCTATCTATTTAATTGGTATATTTAAACCTCTTCCACTTCGCTTATATTCTTCGGCGCTATTATGTTTCTCTTTGTTAGTCTTTGCTATTCAACCGCTGTATAGATTCTCGCTAAGATAAGCAAGCAAACCGTTTAAATCTGATGATAGACGCTACTATGTCGGCAACAAATGCTGGTAATTTCCAATTTTTTTTTTGGTGGGGGAGGGCTGAAGAAGGAAGGAGGAAGGTGGTAGAGCAATTACTTGTATTCGGATTCTTACAGTTACATCTTTAATATGTCTGATAGATCAATCCTTGGAACCGTTACCGTCATAGAAATCGCTGCCGGAAGAGAGGAATCACGGGCAACAGAAAGCAAACCTTCCTTCAGCCTACAAGGTCTCGTTGCAACCAATGTTGAGGATTTCGTCACACTTTTACCAGCTACTTTGAAATTTCAAGGAAAACGTCCTCGCACGACGAACCATTAACTTAACATTAACCAACAAAGAAAAAAGACAACAGGTCCTCAAATACGAGGTCCCTATGTTACCCTTACGTTTTTCTTTTCAAAACGCTTTTTTCAATTCTCAAAACGGATAAGGACCAAAGGACAGACTAATCCTATCGCGGTTTATTTAACTAACAACTTAATTCTTCTCATCGGTGACAAGGAAAATAATCAACAGGTCAAAGAAATCTGGAATTTCTTGAAAACCTTTCCACCTTCGGTTTGGTCAGCATTTGTCATTTTTAATAGAACCGCTGGATCACAACGACCATCATCTCACAATACTAAAAGAAGGGACATATCAATTGTCCTGTTGAGTTCAAACATGGAGATTCCCACGTGATTTTACTGTTTTTCACATTTCACATTGCATTTCTATATTTTAGTAGTCTTTAGCTTCCGAATTAAATATTCCCCAATATTCGAAAGTACGCTGAAAACCTCTTTTATTCCTACCGTGTTGTCCACAACATTTGAGATTTCGTTCTGCATAATAGAAAACTTAAGTGAAAACACGTTGAATAGATAAAATTATCGAAAGGGCTTCACTTCAATCGTTTCAAATATGAACAAATCCTGTAAACAAAATTTTTCTTTTAGAAATTCAACAACAGCCATTTTTTCGAACCAAAGAAGTCATCCTTATCAGTGGCCTCACATATAATGGCCAATAGGTTCGTAACATTTGAGAACAGTGCTTAACCACAACAAAATCTGAGATGCGCATGGACAAAGTCCTTGCAAATTCCTCTCCAAACCGTAATTCATCTCTAACCTGGTTGTAAACAGACATCCTATAAATTTTGGTGTGGCATCACACACACTGCGCATGACATCGTCAACGTAGCGTTACGACAGCAATAACCAAGACAACACATTTGGAATAAAACCACTCTGATAAAAAATCTGGTTCACTTTCAACGGAGTCTAAGAGACCTTTCACACTAATTAAATAAGTACACTCGTGAACAACATACAGGTGGTTCAACGACAGGGCTCTGAGGAGTGCGAAGTCGCTGAAACGCCAGCCATTGTTACAACCAATAAGAACATCTATAGCAACTTCGCGTCGGCCAGCGAGGGCAGTTCGTAGAAAACAAGAGCACTGTTTCAGGTGGGACTTATAAAAACAATAAAAAAATTCGGGAATTTATTGAAATATCATCGCGACGAATCACTGCAATCAAACCAAGTAAGCAGATCATAATAGTCGAATCTTTTTGCCGAAATTAATCGTTGCTCAGTCCTTTTAGCAGCACTTACGACAGCGTTTATTTCAGGAGGAAGAAAGAAACGCCTATCTATTTTAGCATCGAATCTGTGCTAAAGTTGACTACGGTAGTGAACACGTCCGTCACTATTTGTTGCGATATTTGTCTCCAGCAATCGGATTACATTTCCGTTCAAAAACTAATACCAACAATGACGTCCGAAGTCATATCGTCGATAGGATGACTAATACAACAAGAAAGAAAGAGTGTTAGAAATGATAAAAATTGAATAAAAAAGTGCTGGATGACGTACAAAAGGATCGGACAATTGCCCTCTATCGAATGAACGATTACATGCATAATTTATACCACCTTACGCGAAGAATGAAAAATTTATTATGTCGAACCAACGCTTCCGAAACTTACACTATTGTCATAAAGTTTTGACACATTCCTACCTTTATTTCCTTGCATTCTTTACAAATCTCGTTCATCTGAATTTTCAACTAACGGCTATGCTTCTTATTACAATAGCTTTCCTTGCTTACTAAACATACTGTAAGTAAGATCACTATCCATACTTGGTCTGGATGTGAATGTTAACAATGATTAAAAATCCTACTGTGTTACAGCACGCAGGTTGATCACTGTCTACAGCGCAACGTCAATGAAGTACACAGGCTTATTTTCGTTCTTTCTTAGTTTATTTTTCTCTTGATAAAAGACTTGCGGCACTCATCTAACTTGTTTCCATCTCTTCACATATTTTCAAATTTTGTGCTAGATTATATGAAAACACAAGAAATTATCACTCTTCATTAATTATAAACGTTAAGAAAGTCCCCAAAAGCTCATAAAAGGTTAAAAGTATGAAAATCCTCTTACCAAATCGGAATTATATAACTGTCTAGTCTCTACTACATGTTTTTCCACCAAACCAAAATCTCTTCTGTGATATTTTTCTAGAGGAATAAGGCGAACATTCGAGTCAGTGACAGAAATCCCACGGGGCCACTATTGTTTATCGTTAACATAAAACCACCAACGATGGTCTCTCACAAGGAGATCTCGCTATCGAAATCATTCGCCCTACGATCGCGTTCATCAGAACAACACCCCCACCATTGTGTCAGGTTTAAAAACGATTTTAGCAACCTCTCATTCAGTTTTAGAGACTTCACCAGTCGCATTTTATTGCATATGACCAGAAGAAATTGATACAGAACATTTACAAACATACCCTCATTGAAAAATGTTCTAATTACGAATGACCGAGTCAACTCTACTAGGTAGGTGCAAAGCCACGATAATCTCTCGTTTAGTTTCTTAAGGAATTTATAAGCGGGAATATGAATCTCGTGATATGCCCAATATTAGACGATCCCACGACTTCTATGTTGCTTCACTTATTTGTCTTTACCAAACCCATTCTTGATTTTGTAGGCATGAATCTGCATCGAAACAACGGTTTGTTGCCCGTGTACAAATTTGTTCGAAATGCAATCATGTTCAGAGTGAAAAGCCTGTGGTACTCATTAGTTGTAAGCTACGTAGTCGTACAGTTCAGTGATTATTGACTTAGCTACTAATAAGTAGAAAGCTCATGAAGCAGCACAGGAAATTTGCATATCAATCTTCGTAGAAACAAAGGTGCTTTCTTGTCGTATTGCTTTCCTTGTAAATGATGTAACTTGATACCGCCTTTGAGTAAGAAGGATTATAGGAACAAAGCAAAAATCTATCATAAAAATCTCTTTAAGCTTTTCATATGCTCTGCTTCCCTGGCGCAGATATCAAAAACGTTCCAAGACTTGTAAGATGCGCATATTCAAAAGACTGACACTAACCATTTTCCCTTGTTACAGAAAATGCCGAACAATTTCCAGAGTCTCATTCACCTTCTGTTCAATTAATAATTTTTATTAAAGAAAACTTCAGAAAAGGATACCTTAACAGAATTCTCCAGTAATTCATTCACATATTTGATCGCTTCTTCATTACCGAATGACTTCCATAATCCATCACATGCTAGTATAAGGAACCTAAACAAATTCATTACATCTTGTAAATTATAGGATTCAACGAGATCAAATGTGGGTTAAATTATAGCCATTTCTGAGCCCTTTCATTTAAAATGAAACTATGCCATTGACAAAAGATAATGGAAACATATACAGTCTGATAATGGAAATCATACGTTCGTTATGCACATAAAACCTGTTACGTTTTTATCGATCACAACACAGCTGTGATAGCCTTTCGAAAAAAAAAAGACTAACTGAAACAATCGAATGTAAAAGAATGACAGGATTAAGGAGAAACTGTTGAAGGACGAAACTGTGATACAGCTATTTATTCCAAACAACTTGATGCTGCCAAAGAACATTTGCTCGGGGAACACAAGAATTTTCACATAAATTGATAAAAACCAGTCTAATGTGAACCAAACCAATTATTCGTATCCCAGACGTACGCTGCAGACGTAAAGAGGTGATGAACTAAAAAAAGCCTTATAAATTTATGCCAGGTTCACTCAGATCGGAAATGAGAAAAACGGCATCATAAAGCTGCAATGACTCGCCGAATGTTCCATGATTTATAACTTTTGGAAAAGAAAACACGTCAGAAAAGGTAGGTAAGGCTGAAAAATGGGCGGTTTAAAATTCTAAAATAAAACCCGGGAAAAACTCAGCCGAACAATGATTTCGAATATTAATTCCAGACTACGTTATTGGTTTCTGACCGTCAATTACAGCATGCTGTCATACTGTGCTCGTTCCCCTTCCCGACATTTCACAAGATCCAATTGATTGAAATTGAAACCAATCAATTGATCATCTTATTTGTGCCCATGAATCCATCCTTCACTAACACCTCTTGGAACCCATCACAGTATGCAGAAAACCTCATAATGTGCTTTTTTTAAATCAGTTATGAAAAACAACGAGGTATTTTTCGTCGTCACCCGCAGATGGATGAATGGCCGCTTTATCAGCGATTTCCTACCGACCACCAGCGACGACGACGCCGCACGCGCTACACTAAACAGGCCCGTTCACCCGCGTCACCTCATGAGATAAAAGGCGGTCAACGCGCTCACGCCCGCGTGCCAACATACAGTAATCTCGTCGCATTTTTCTCCACAGTCGTCGTCTCCAACTACATACATACGGATACACCGTGTTATCCTTCTGCCGAAAAATCTCCAAAATCCACTGCGAGTTTAATTCATTATAACATCAAGATTTCTTAAGGCTATTTTTGAACTTCACGACACAGTCCTCCGCCTTCAACCCGCTTTCTATCACTGCCTAGTGTCGACAATGTTCTCCTTTTTTGTTGCGAATAGGAATATTATAACTTAAAGTTATAAGCATTAATAACATTATAAGTACATTAAAACAATTAAAGTAGCTATTTCAGAATGGTGCACACGATCACTGGCGACCGTGTTACACCAAAACAAGATGAGGATCCTCTAGGCGTTATCGTTCAATTTTCAGAACAACCGATGAAGACCACATTTGATCTCTTACTGGAACAACATCTAGGAAAATTTGGAAGGTAAGCGTAACCGTGAAATGGAGCGAAAGAACGAAAATACTCTTCACATAGTAGCTACCTATAGTTCGTTCTACTTTTTCTAAAGTGTTTAACTACCATACGTGCTATGAATTGGAGATTTTCAGATATCAAGTACTACAGTTTGTCTTACTTAGTCTTCCAGTTGTATTCGTAGCCATGCACGTAATGAGTTGGACATTCGTAGCTGCGCCACCATCACTCTTGTGAGTGCTGTTCTAACACGCAGTATGAAAACATTAAATGATTGCTAACGAGGGTGGATTAAGCAACATAAATATTTCACACATGTTTTGAATAAATTAGTTCGCAAAATCGAAATCAGTAAAACAAGACTGCATAGAGTAATCAGCATTCCGAACAGTTGTGACCCAGAGGCTGTACTCGCAATTTGTTTCAGAATCAATCATTGTTTTTGAACCTTGAAATACAGCCAACCGCCTTACAGGTGCGGAAACACAACTACAAGGGAAAATTGCACAAGAGATGATAACGTTTACTCAGCTGTTGAGAGAGTAAGCGAATAAGAGCTATCCTAAAAGTAAATTGAAATTCTCATAACATTTTGAGTTGTTTTAGTGGAGAATGGGCGACGATAGATCATGGATCAAGGCTACAGTTCAGTCACTCTATTACATCGGGCAAATGACCGGTTCCCTGTTCTGTGGCATTATGGGTGACAAGTGAGCATTGCTAAAAATCTCTTCGGTTTTACTTCAAAGCTTTTCCATTGGTACATATAGCTTTTAGGATTGGACGAAAGAAGGTTTTCTACCTTGCCATTATAATTCAAACAATCTGTGGAATATTGCTGTCGGTAGCACCAACATGGTGGCTATTCGCCATTCTAAAGTACGTCTTTTCCACACCAAATCCTTAAGAAAATGCTTCTTAAAGTACTGAAAAAGGTCCTGTTGTGTATAGTTGCAAATTTATAGGGGAGGAACTGGATTCTCTCAGCCAGGAATCTTCGGTGTTGCTGTTGTATTAGCAACGGAATTAGTCAGTAGTAAGTACAGAAGACTTGGTGCTGTTGTAGCAGGAGCTTTTTATGCAGTTGGAGAAGTAATTCCTCACTGTTCTTAATTTTAAAAATGGACAATTTGATGAAACCATGTGAATCTAGGTGATGCTCGCTGGTATGGCCTATGTTCTCACGGATTACCGTCTCCTTCATGCTGCTATAGCATTACCTTCCCTGATTTTCATTTCGTATTGGTGGTACGTAGTATGTTTCCTTCTTTGTGTTGCAAAAAATTGTCCCAGTGCTATAAAACTGGGGAAATACGAAGTCATTTGCAGGTTAGTTCCAGAAAGCGCACGATGGTTAGTCACCAAGGAACAGTATGAAGAAGCCGATGTTATTCTCCAAAAGGCAGCACGGATCAATGGATCATGTGTTCCTGAAAGATGGTTAGCATATGGATCTATAGGATGGTCTCGACAAAACAATTAAATTCACACAAAATATTTTCAGGTGGGAGAAACTGCAGATAACCCAGAATAACAAATATCAAGCGTTCAGTATGATAGACCTTGTTCGCACTCCAAACATGCGAAAAAGGACATTAGTTTGCTTTTTTCTATGGTAAATTACTTCCGAAACTTCTCATCAATCTTCATCACTTCTATAAACCGAAACTTTACAGGCCAGTGAACACTATGATGTACTATGGCTTAACAATGAAAAGTAATCTTGGCGGAGGAAACCTGTATGTAAACTTCGCTATTAGTGCTCTTATGGAAATTCCAGCCCTCTTTGTCGTATACTTTCTTATCGATCGGATCGGGAGACGCCAAATTGTGGCATGTAGCTTACTGACAGCAGGAATATCCCTTATCTTTAACTGGATCGTAGGAGATGACGGTACGCCTATGATTCATTAAACTTGATTTTTACAACGGCGACAATGAGAGTTTCATAAGATTTTATGATTGCCAACTTATGAAGTTTGAAATATCTCTGCGCAATAGAAGTAGAATCAGACAGTGTACGAAGAAAACTAAACCACATCAACACCTATAAGAATTTAATCTCAGCTACTTAAATGACATTTCCACAGAAATAAGTACTGTATCATCGTATTTATTTGTTTCGTTGTCATGCAAACGCTCAGGTGGTAGGTGGCCGTGGTTGTTTGTAGGTTCTACTCAGTTTCAGGATCTGCTTTTTTCCTCATTAACGTATTAAACGGTGATCGAGCAAGCGTGGTTCCCATGAAAAATCCGATGGCAGTGTACTAGAAACCTCTCTGTTCCTCACTACATAATTGCCGGTCCATGGATATCGAAGCTGTACTGCCTTGCAACAGGGATTCATTCCCTGATGGTTGTAGAGATTCCAGTAGTAGAAGTGGTAGAATAGGTTACTGCATTTGGTTTAATGACTGGCTGAGACGACGAAACGAACCTCACACTCAAGAAAAAAAAACTAGAACTGAGGACAAATCTCTAATATATGACTAACAAAGATTAATCGAAGGTTGTTACTCCGATATGCGTTATTACAGTCCAGTTCTATTGGGGAATGCTGCAAATGATGATCGCTAAAGGTGCTGTGACCGTATCCTACACCGCCATGTACACTTACACGACAGAACTATTTCCAACAGTGATTCGCAACACTGCGGTTGGATGCTGTTCAACGATCGCCCGTATTGGAGCAATTGCATCATCTTATATGGCACTATGGCTGGTAAGTTGTTACATTTTATGTGAAAAAATTCTATATACATGCGTAGAAGACTACGTTAGATAAAAGAGTGAGCTATATTCGCCCTTTTCACGTACTTTCACATCTCGTTTTAACCCTAAAAGCTACTTCGTCTTTGGACTAACTGAAAAAACACGAATATGATGGTTTCATATAGCTGCTAAATATATCCCTATTTACAAGAAATAAATGATACGGAACAAAAATCACTCGATGATCAATGCAAAATAGATAGAAATCAGTTCAGGTTTTTCTGTGAAGATAGGTTGGTAAATATACAAGTGGAAAGAAGTAATGTCACACTGTGTAGAAAAACAGAACACGGTAACGAAAACACTGAAAGTCAGAGAGAGAGGGAAAGAGAGGGAGAGAGAGAGAGAGGACGGTAATGTATGCAGAGCGAAAATGTGCCAAACCGTCTCATAGATTTTGTAATACACAATGATTTCAGGTTGATTCCTACGGCAAACTCGCGATGGTTGTCCCATTCGCGCTATTGTCACTAGCAGCAGCCTTGTCGACACTGGTATTTCTACCGGAAACAATGAACAAGAATATGCCAGAATCTATATCAGAAGTGGAAGGAACCAAAATTTAAACGGCCCAAAAATGGATGACGACTCGCGTGCTAAAGTTAGAAGCGAATTCATATTCTACGACGGTATTTTCAGACCTAGAAGAAAATTGGATTTTGAAACTAGCGCGACACAATGCACCAAAGTACTATATAGTTTTCGTGAACAATTCGAGAACGACCGTCTCTTTATTATTTGTTACTTTGATGGTCGTTAGACGGTTGCTCGAAGTTTGTGTTGCTTCTAATATTTGATGACACTCTCTTTTTGAGGAGTTAGGTACCATTCCAAGGCTGAGTAATTAAAAAAAAATTCGATTCATTAGAAAAATCCTAACATGACGAATTTCAATTTAGCAGAAAAAAAACAATTTTGCCTTCCTACGTAAAACGCGCAATGGAACTGCGAAGAAAAGAGAATTTTTCACTTATCCTCAGTTCCATTCTCAAAGAATAAACTTCCCCACAACGCGGAAAGGACTGTGCAAATTCTTCACTGTTGTAGATGTATTTATTTCGCCAGGACCTTTCTTTCGAAAAAACAAAAAGCAAAGAATACGAGCGAAAATAAACTCGCCAAACAATCAGCTTAAAGCTTTACTGAGTGCATTTAGAAAAGAATATCAGGACGTCGATAGGCACATTCAAGGAGCAGCACAATAACAGCTTTAGAGTTCAACGTAGTTCATTTCCTTCACATATGATGCAATTTTCTACCATTTTATAGTGAAATTATAATGGAATAACTGTTTCAATATATTTGCTGTGTATTTCATATAACAATGAAACGACATCTGTTGATGAAAATTAGAACGAGTCCACATTGATGGTTCCGTCGTGATTTTTTGACACACAATGAAGTGCTTAATGACATAAAGTTATAGTTTGCCGTCGTTTACAATTTCCTTACAACTCAAAATAGTCGGACACAGTTTACAGTAATTGTAGCCATGGTTGAACTTTATACTTGGACAGAACGTTTCAAGTTTCCTCGTCTCCAAATTTTTGCAAATTTGCGCACCATCGTAAACGTAAGGGCGGATAGCACAGTGGTAGTGATGTCGGTTAACACGAGTGTGGTGCTCGTTGGATTCCGCCCCAGGCCAACTAAGCCTGTCATCCCTTCAGGATCGAGAAATTGGTACCGGACTTGTTTAGGAAAAAATCACTCTCTGGAATCCAGTTGGGACGCTCCAGTCCGGCTATATCAGGACTCCAGGAAAAACTGTTCGATCAGCATTCTACGACATTCAAGATGAAATGGAAATCCTCAAGCAGCAACCGAAGCCAGAAGTAAAAATTGGAAAATCTTCGTGATCAAGGAATGCGAGAAAACGAACAAAATGTGAGAAGTGCTGGGATCCGCACAGTAGACGTAAAGACAGATCAGGCCAAATAAAAAAAAATAAAACAAAAAGAAAAAATCATAAACATAGATCAGTAACGTAGGTTCCCACAATTCCATAAAACATGATTTCAGGTAGAACGGGTTTGATACAATAATAAGTTCAATACTTACAGGTAAATCCAAAAGGATAAACTTCTCCTCAGTGAACATTCATAAAAAATCATTAGATTTTGCTTAGAAGCATTGTCATTTCTCCCTAATGTGCACGGCTGAGACTTTACAACGTAAAACGACGTTTATTTAAGTTTACTTTAGTAGAACTTTTATCAAATTATACTGAGTGAAAGTTTACAAACAATCGGTAATAGATTGCTTTCAAATGTGTGGAATAAAGGAAAAAGAAGATAACAACGAATAGGTTTGAGTTTTCACCTGGAAGTGTTGGATATTCATTGATAACATGACTGACTATCCTCAAACTGATGTATGGATTATTTTTAAGACTCAGAATCGTCTCCACACCATTGCTTATTTCACAGAATATCATTTCCTTGCACACAGTGCATGGTTGTTATTTAGCTGTGTTCTCACCATTAGTTGCATTAAAAATTGCCTTGAAAGGTCTACTAGGTGTAAGTTATTCAAATCACTCAATTTAGACTATTAACGACTCAAGGCGATAGAGAAAATATAGGATGAATCGTACGACGTCAATCATTTCCTCAGGGTGAGCAATGCATTCGACTCTACTCGCAGGAACTCAAACAAGTGATTGAATGCATAATTAGTCCATACGACTCGCCGAAGCCTACCAGTGCTTTTGTCCTGCTTGCAATTTTCCGAAGCCCGACGGAGTGTGTCCGAGGGAAATACATTAATTCTTTCATGGAGGAAAACCTTAGCTTTCAAATAGCAATACATTTATTTTTTAGTTATACAATGAAACTACTAGCCGTCCGAAAAAATGATAAGCATGAGCACGGCTGGCGTCCACATCATAACTCATTATGGAAAATATTCTCTCCGAATTATTATTGCATGATCTCATGACAAGTCTGATACCAATTTCACGACCCCGGACGGAAGAACCGGCTTGATGGGTCCTAGACGGTGTCGAAGAAGCGCCTAGGCAGGTTGAGCAGTCCGTGGACCCAATGAAATTAATATCACTACGTTATCCGCACCCATCTCATATGTAGTACAGTACATCTTTAGTACTAGTTTCAGACCACCATGGAATATTTAGATCCCTGAAATTGCTCTTGATTCAATGGCTATCACGCAACATATTCTTGGTATCTCTCCCATTAATATTATGACCTTGCATGCATCTTATATGTTTGACACATCGACTTCGTAATATTATAAAAACTCCACCGATTCTGAACGGTATAAAAGCAACATTTCCTCGAGAACTTCAATGATCTCGACTCATTCTTGCTTATCGGAATGAATGACACTGAGTAACCGCTCTCTATCAACGATGCATTAATGATGAAATTCTTCACTGTTGTGTAACCTTCCAGCACCTGTACAGAACCAAATTTCTACACGGCAACAATAAGAAGAGGAGAACATCGTATAAGATATGATCCACACATGCAGCAGTACAACCAGGCATAAATACGACTACCTATATGAAGACGTGTCCAGTGCCACAAGGATGGGCAGACTGTCACTTGGAAACAATTGCATTTCACAAATTTGATGCTGTTAACACTGAGCACCTCCCAAATGGTTTATCGTCTCGTCGTGGACGGAGGAGTGTTCAGGCGTATCGGACTGCAACCTACAACAGCTGTTCGCCCCCAGCAGGCCTTCCCAAGACAAGAAATGTCTGACGTTTCCATTTGGAAGTAGAGCTAACAGTAAACTAATACGAGGAATCACAGCCGTATTGACATCAAATTAGTGTCAGAAGTATAGAAAGAGGCACAGCTCTAGATTCTTATAATATTACAGACAACTTTTTAGCTGGAAGCTACAAATTACATGTGCTTTTCGTAATACATATGACATTTTACCTGAAAAAGTAGAAAATATAAAATGGACAAGTGGAAGATGACGCATATGGCCATTTTGCCAAAGGAGGGTGAACGAATGGATCTTCATAAACATTACCCAATATGATTGTTGAATGCACTCTACAATCTGTTCATGAAGATTATAACCAACTTAGCCAACAAGATTCCAACTAGGATTCTACTGCATGGACCGCATCCAAACCATAACACACATTATAAGAGACTGCTAGTCCCAACCTTTATCGACTATGAAAAAGTATTTAACAGAAATCGAAACGAACACAATCCTATGTACTCGTTGACCAAGAAGTGGATTCCTCCTATGTACGAACATTAGATGACTGTTGTCGCAATTACAGCACAGAAACGCTTCTCTACTGATCTCTCATCATTACCATAAGAAATGGAGTTCGACAAGGCGACATCATCTCAGCAAAGCTTTACACAATCGGATGGCGTTAGATAATTAAGTCACTCGACTAGGACTAAAACGGTAAAGACAATGATAGAGAATTTCTGCAAATCTTCGTATTGCTGATGATATCGCCATCTTATCGAGTACCGGTGAAGCAGAGACATGATCAGTGAGCTCAATGAAGTAGCAAAGACTACACGGCGGATAAATAAGACGAAGACTCAGTTCATGAGAAACCAATGGTACGAAGACGGATATATCGAAGTAAATGGCTCTTTTATCACACAAACCACTTCGTATGTGTCTTAGGCGTCCAATGAAAGGAAGATATAGACAGGATAAGGAGAGCAGCATGGGTCACATTTAGACCTCTTAAAGATGTCGCCAACCAGTTGACGGACCTAAGACTCCGTTCTTACTATCTCAATTCAGTAATCCTCAAAACATTCCGTTATGGAGCACAGACCTGGGCTGATACTTCAAAGATGTCAAGAATTATGCGCATCACTCACAAGGCGGATGCCTTGTAAATTTTAATCGGTACTCACATCGTCTAGCCGGAATGTTCACCTCAGATCCCTGGAACCTATCCCATCTTTGTGATCCAGAAGGCAGTCACATAAGACGAAAAGATGACAGATGGACGAATAAAAGTATGAAATGGACTTCAGGAAGGTGCAAGAGTCCTCCGAGACAACCATTCAAATGATAATCACACATTCTTAAATTATTACACAAACATGGGTTGATAAAAAGATTTATCCAGCTAACTTCTCGACTTCTTCGTCTTGTTCGGAGCCACATTGATTCGAGTCGATGGTCCACAGATCGTCGTCTTTGCGATGTGGGTGTTCGTTGTTTAACCAATTCGAATCCAGTGGATGGTGCACCGCTCGAGCGTATATATGTGTATATACACACATATTTAGTGTGCACATGTAAATAACACATGGATGCTGGTAGCTTAGTAGTGATGCCGCTCAGCACGCACAAGGGCTCTACTTCGACAACGACCGAGGCCAACTGAGCCACCCGTCTTCCCGAGGTCAGGAAATTGGTACTAAACCTTTCCGACAGTAGCTTGGTCCAAGTCCTAGTGACTGCTTGTGATGATCCAAGAAGCACCTAAGCACGACTGTCCCATGATTTCAGCGAGAATCGACTCGACGAACATTCAACGTGATTTATCAAAACCACAAATCCTCAAGCAACAGCTGAACCCATACTCAAAATTCCAAAGCCCTTTATGGAATATGGACGTAAGCAAACAAATAAAATGTGTCTACTAGAATCCACACAATACATGTAATAATCGGGTCGTGTAAAGCAAAAAATAAAATAGATAAATAATTAAGCAACCAAATAAACATAAACGGAACTATGTAGTAAAAAATTGTTTGGTTTCTCTTGAAAATGAAAATTTTGATTAGTGTGCGATTATCTTTCAACTGATAGGACATTAAGTGCTACCAAAAACTAAAAACCTGTCATTAGGTGTTATCGTGAGCTTCTTCATATCCGGTATACATGTTACACCATGAGCTTTGAACTGTCCATCACCTATCGACCTTGATACTTCAATTATTCCGTTAACTCGTCCATCCCTGAAGGAACTATTCAAAATCGTAATACAGCTATGAAAATTAATCCACTCAAAACCTCCACTACGGCCAGGAAAATGCTGATTGTAAAAATGTACCTTGATATGAGGAAAGAATCTGTAACCCATTACAGGCGAACATACAGGTAGTTTAACATTTTCACAACGGTCCTAAACTTGGATGAAGGCCACGTGCGTATAATTTTTCAACTCTCGCCAGAGGACATAAAATGCCCCCCGTCCTAATCAACACGTTGAAGGAACAAACTAGAATGGAGAGCAATGTTACGTCAAACATATCAAACATAAAACCTTGCGGGCGACGTTGGGTATACCACTTATGTTGGGAGGTAAAACAGACAATGCAGTATATGAAAAAAACGAATCGAAGCCATTGTATATTGCTGTGAATGTTTCAAAACAGCTTCTTTAATAATGAGCGGCTTTAATCTAGAGATTTCTCTGCGGAGTAAGTGTAAAAAAAAACATGGAAGCAGATAACATCACTTGCCTTACGGTTCCACCGGCTTTTTGTATACGCATTCTTTCTTCATACATGGTTGGATTGTGATCCACAGTCAGTTCAATAGGCGAAAACGCATCTTCTTTCTTCCGACACACAATTGCCTGAGAGAGTCATTATTAACACTCGACGAAGTCACTATTTCGATGACTAGAGTTCTTCCGAGGTCGAACAATAAATATATTTGTAGAATAAGCCTTAATTTAAAATTGGAGCATCGAATGAAGACTTCTGGAATGTTACTTTAATTCTAAACCTAATTAAAATCCGGATCTCGGATACGCCGAAAACAATATTTAAATGCTTCAAATTCTGACAGTGCGATGTGCTATTTAAATGCTTCAAATTCTGACAGTCTGACAGAGACCATGCGCCCAAGTGGATAGCGCTGGTTGAAATCCTTCCTATTTGTTCAAGCACTTCAGTTTTAGATTTGCAAACCTCGACGACAAAAAACGGCAAAAAAAAGTTAGTTTTGTGGTTTACAAAAAATCAGAACATCATCTTCACGGAACGAAAAAGGTTTTATACATTCATGTAGTGAAATTACATCTCGTTGGAAAATATCTGAAACTTCTAGCGATTTTTCTTCACTTAATAAAGTACACTACGACCTGAGATATAGTTGCCCAAATCAGAAAATTACTTCCAGGCACCCGCGCGCTCAGGCAAATGCGCATTATAGTGAACATTAAATCATGAGAACGAACAGAGCTGTCTCTATAAACACAGTTGGTAAAAATGAATTATGGCACTTTTCCGCACCTTTAAGAATACGGTATTACTAGCTTAGAATTCCATTCATATCACATGAAAGCACTGAACAATGAAGTTAGTGTTACCAAATATTCATGTTTGGTTCAACAGTAATGTTCTAATGATTTTAGGATAGTTGAAACAAGTGGAAATAACTGCATAGAAACTTCAACGGTTTAGCCCATAACTTCATACTTATTCGTTCTGCCAACGAAGCAACTCCAAATATTGCTCCATTTTTCATTTGCTGCGACCAGAAAAACGCTTTCGAACGTAAATTAAGAGTTATCACGACGAAGAAATTCATAGGCACCTAGTAAAAGTCCACTTTTCTATAATCGAAGTTGATCGTCTAAAAACCAACAAACAGGTTGTAAAAGAACAGAGCGTTAGTATCCGGCAGTTTTCAATCATTTGGAAGACAACGGAAAGGCGAAGAACCTCGATTAATGGATGCCACATGAACTGAATCAGTAGCATGATCGCAATTGCTGTTGACTTCTTCTTACGCAACAAAAACGACTCATTTTTCGATCACGTTGTGGAATGTGATCAGAGAAGAATACTATTCGATAAATGGGAGCATGGGAAGCGCAGTGATTACAGGTCACCTGCAATACACACTGAATCAAACGCCAGTTCTATTTGGTGCCTTGAACTTACCGAGCCTTTCATCCCTCCGAGGTCAGTAAATTGGTGCTTGATTTGTCTGGGAGGAAAGTCAAAACACTGACTTGACAGATCGATAGGCCACCGCAAGTCACTGTTTGAGCCAGATATACATTCAGTCATCTCCAAAATGTTTATACACATATATATATATATATATACACATGTCTGCATATATCCTTTTTCGTCCTTTATGTCTGCATATATATATATATATATATATATATTCATGGGTTTATATTTTTATAAACAACATCGTCTACGAACCAGCCACAATCCCTGTTTTCCGTCGCTGGGGTCTGGAAACGTAATCTGACGCAAAGCCTCACTTGTTAACTCCACTCATTAACTAAACCTCACCTATTAGATGAACCATTCATACGGTGTTAAACGAACAAGGCTTTATGTGATCGAAAATTAATTATCCCAGCGCAACATTATCAGAACGACAATGTTGCTGAGATATTTGCAAAGCTCTAGACCACAGGTGTCTAAGGTGGGGAACGAACGCGCTATTGTCCTCTCCGAGGAGTAACGCGTTCACCACCACACCATGCGGGTCCTTCGTTTCGTCTGTCTCTCAGCTGGTTCTATCGATCAGCGCCATCAGCAAACACCCGTTTACGGAACTGATCTGGGGAACCGAAATGTAGTAGGCAAAACGTAGAAAGGTTAAGATTATGAGAACGTTATATCATAAAAAGATGTTGGCCAACACAACCTTTTTAGGAGCTTCTCTCGAATCGTTAGCCAAATCAAACAAATAATGTACGATAATCCCATCAAAATTCAAATTAAGTTGCATCTATGATGCTGCCTTTAAGAAACGTCCTGCTCAATCACACTGACCTTGCTATCTCCAATGTTCGCAACATAGAGCGCATCGTTTAACATTAGAACACACGTCACTGTCGTTCCATCTTTCCAAACGGGTTTCCTAAAGTATATCACTGCATTTTCTTACGAGGAAAAGAAAACCGACACTAGTAATGACCTATCGAGCAAATGTACCTAAAATAATTGTTAATTGACTTTAAAAGCGTTAATTGGTGCTACAAACATATTCAAATTAGAAGTGTCACCTTAAAAAGACTATTCGATTGCTATTGACTTTTCTATTTTAAATAAACCATCTTTCACTGCTGTGCGGACCTCGCATTTCCCACATTCGATTCGTTTCGTCCCATGCACTATCGACGAAAGTTTTCTAACTGTCTACTGTGTCTTCGGCTGCTGCTTGAGGATTTTTCTTCGTCATGAATACCGTTGAATGGAGGTCGAGCCGACTCTCCGTGGACTCCGGAAAAAGTCGGGCAAGAACGTTCCATATGGATGATAGCAGGTGATCTTTCTCCCAGAAAAGTCCCGTACCAACTTCCCGACCTCGAAGGGAAGGTAGGCTTGGTGTGCCCAGACGGGAATCGAATTAGAACCGTGCTCGTGATTTTTTTAGCATCATTACTACTGTGCTATCCGCCAGCTGCTATAAGGTTTACTTTTGTTAACTTACGATGAGATAGACGTAGCTACTCAGGAATGTCAGAGGCAAGTCTAGTGTTTAAGGACATTTGTTAAAGTGTTACCAAACACCCTGAAGTAATACTGAGTTAAGCGAATCATTTCACCACCGCACCTATGAATTGGCTTCAGTTTAGACATGACTGAAAATACTTGTCTCCATCTTTAAACAAGCATCTCACCTCATAATGAACTTTATTCATTGAAATCAGTAGAATTTACAATCTCCCGACAGATATCAACTTGCCAAAAGGTCCACCTGATATTTAAAAAAGCCTCACTCAGTGAGGTCACTTCATTCGATCGATGCTTCACTGGTTTTGACTCCATGTGGGTATGTATATTCACATCGGAAGAATGAATGGCCGTGGAAGCCGATTTGGATCACGCTCCGGAAAAAGCAAGGGGAACGAAATGTTAGTCAACTTATATTTGATCCCAACCCCATACGCCAAATTGCAAAAGATAATGTGCGCGGGACACGTAATGCGAATGAACATCAACCGATGAACAACAGCCGTTAATGACTGGATTCCTCGCGATGTAAAACACACAGCAGGAAGACTACCGACCCAATAGTTAGAACTCTTTACGAAAACTCTAGAATAAGGATATAACGATGTTCAACGAGTCCTTAGAATAAGTAGAACCCATTGGATTACTTTGCATGCGCCAAGAAATGGAAAATTTACCGGCGCACAATAGCGTGACTATACGATTGGAGACGGGACGACAGGTGATATAGGTGATACCAACCACATGTTAGATTACTATTGAAAAAGTTAGACAGGTTTGTACTTAGTTCCCACATATGGATGCACACAGAGCATATGTCGGTGTCTGTTTTGGTTTTCTGTGCTGAGCGATGAAAAGACAGAGTAAAGGATTTGCTGTCAAATTGGTGTACTGTTTGATGAAGGATCAACTTTATGTAATTCCAAAATCTCATATAGACATAATCCGCCGAAACATTAAGAAAGGACAAATGAGCAGAAATATTCCGTACTTAGTTCATTCAAAGAATTTCGTGTGGGATCCAGCACATCCTTGATTAGTTTGCCTTCATAGCTACAACATAAAAACAACAAAGCTCTCGATTTTGATATATCCCTGAGGGATGCGCCATGCATTCGATTTCATTAATCATCGTTAGAGATGAGCGAATGCATATCTGGCCTATACAATGACTCATGGTCGCCTACCGATGTATCAAGTCAGTGACCATTATGTTATATATCCACTTTCTGAGAGCCTTATTTCGATGTCTAAGATTGGAAGCCAGTTCTCGGTTGAATTTTCCTATGTGAATTTTATATACTTCGACTCTCTATTTAACTGTTCAAAGCATTCAACCATCTGTTTTTATGTGGAACGGACGATGAAGCAGTCGTCAATGCATCGACGGTAGAGTAAGGGACAAGGGTCAGCGATCGAGAACTGGAGCTTCGACAATAGACATGGAAGCGAAGGCAAGAGTTGGTGCTAATCACTATGCTATGGCCAAAACTCTAATTTGTACAAAATATTTTCAGCAGCGGGTTTAGAGCATTCGGTTATTTCTCGACTAAACAACGAACATCCAACTTGTCCTGTTACTTAACTTATTAAGACGCATAAATTTATTTCAACTGATGATATTGCATCCACCGATCCATCATCATTTAAATTTAGACCTATCATCAGTTCTATAGACTGATCAACGGATAGACAGCGTGGTTCCCAAACATTATCCTGAGCCAGCTGGTGAAATTCCCCAATAACAAAATATTTCTAGATCACCTAAGGCGCGCGCAACCAAACAGCACGCATATAATGGAGTCATTCGATGTTAGTTCACTTTATACCAACGTGTCCAATGACTCCGCAATGCAAGCCATTCTCGAGTTGTTCGTAGAGCATGAAAAGAAAATAAAAATGTACGGCTTGTCGATTGCGCAACTAATGACTGTCTTAAAATAGTGTCTTAGTTGTTCAATCTTTAGGTGGTCTGGAAAATATTTTGCACAAATTAGAGGGTTGGCCATGGGGTAGCGTTTAGCATCAGGCCTTGCCATCGCCTGCATGTCTAAGGTGGAAGCTCCAGTTTTCGATCACCGACCCCTACTCTACTGTCGGTACATAGACGACTGCTTCATCGTCTGTTCCACACAAGAACAGATTGATGAGTTTTTCAAATTGTTGAACCGACAGTCAGAGTATATAAAATTTACAAGAGAAATACCAGCCGAAAACTGGCTTCCATTCTTAAACATTCAAATAAAGCTCTCAGAAAATGGCTACGTAACATAATGGTATCGTAATTCAAGTAGTAAAAATATGCTACTTCACTACCTCTCCTCTCATCGTTCATACATGAAGAAGGAACCCATCAAAAACATGTACCGAACGACCAAAAATGTGTCCCCAGTAGAACAGGAAAGGAAGAAATCGCCAAATTTGGCACAAAAATTAGCCATTTCCAATGGCTACGAAGCTGAAACCACTCGGGTCAGTAAGATCCCTTTCAAGCCACCCTTCACACCAAATGAAATAAGTTACGCCACTAAGAGGTGCTTCAGAAAATTATGTGGCCATTATTGACCGCCCACCCAATACCCTACGCCGTCAGTTAGTTCGCAACCGCCTCTATGATCGATTGTGCTGCTCAGAAATTTGTATAAATGGGAGAAACGGTGATTGCGTGAGTTCAACTACAATATACTTGATCTCATGTAGGGCATTCGATGAGGAATATGTTGGAGAAGCAGATAAACCGTTTTGTATCCGCATAAAAGAACATCTAGATGAGGTTAAAATTCGTCAAAGCACTCCTCTAGGTATACATAGGGCACAAAAGCACAATGGCGACCATTTTGAAGTGACTGTGCGGATCCTAGCGCAGGAATTGAAAACATCAACGTGCAAAGATCTTGCGGCGTTCCAGATAAATTTCAAAAAACCAAAGATGAACCGGAAAGACGAATGCCTCACTACCACACGTGACCTGGTGCCCTGTTTCAAAATGATATTTTGACCACTGGGTGTGTCTCGTTCGCGACCCCACGTGAACAACGCGTAGGTCAGTCCCACTCGTAGTCACGGTGAGTAGCCTGTCTGTTCAATATGGTGTCTATTTAAAAGGTTAATCTTCATTAATACTTTAGCCTTTTTTCCACCGAATAATTAAAGTATTCTTATATGAAGTACGTCCAGGCTCTGAGGAAGGCGAGATCGCCGAAACGTCAGCCATCGACGAACAACATCAACAACAACGACAACGAAGACCCAGAACATACCAACCTGGCATCAACTAAAGAAGAACAGTTTATAGGATCACATAAATAAATATGTCTCTGCATCATTGTGGTTGGATTTTCTAGCATGTGTTAACACACACCATGTCCATCATTCCTTAACAAATTTTATCACTATTCCTAAAAGAAAAAGTTTTTTGGTCCAATAAATTCCACTTTTCTATTTTTACAAAACAGTTGGCAATGTGCATTGATTGCTC